GTATCGAAAGGGGATATGGGATAGGGAGGCTATTGGGTGAATGGATTACAACACAGGTGGCCCAAGCTCACTACAGGAATGCGGATGTGACTCTTGCTTGTAAGCGGTGTTGTGTTACAAACGGTTATTTTAGGCTTGTATGGGATGTAAACGGTTTTTCTTAAAAGAGAGAAAAAATGTTATGTTTTTAAATAAAATTGACTTACCTTATTGCCTTGTTGTATTCTTTGTTGTCTGCCCGCGTCTCAAGCTGTTTTGAAGCGTTTTTGGCGAGTTAGCGCCATTTTGGTGTTCCACTGCTAAGAGAAAGACAAGGCAGAACAGTGATTTCTGGAGTGTCGGTTGCTCGAGGCAAATAATTCCGCTGGAAAATTACCCCCGGCCTCAATTCCTCCAGAAATTCAAAGCAGTGATGTTGCAGTTTCATGTCCATTCACTCGATTCGCAATTTCTCCCACAGATCGTTCACTAGCGATGCTTCTATCTCTTGCTTGATCGGCTTCCGAATTTTGAACTAGGCTCTTCCAAACTGCCGTGGACTCGTTCACCGTTCGCATAGTATTTCGGGTAACTAAAATAAGCTCGGCGAGGGTAGCCAGCGGCCTGCAGTCGACAAACAGGTTTGTTTTGACAACGGGTTTGTTTGTTGACTGCAGGCCGCTGGCTACCCTCGCCTGGCTTATTTTAGAAAATCACTGTTCTGCCTTGTCTTTCTCTTAGCAGTGGAACACCAAAATAGTGCTAACTCGCCGAAAACACTCCAAAACGGCCTGAGACGCAGGCAAACAACAAAGAATACAACAAGGCAATAAGGTAAGTCGATTTTATTTAAAAACAACATTTTTTCTCTCTTTTACCGTTCACATTCTGGCCATACAAGCCTTTGTAAATAATGGTTTGTAACACAACACCGCTTGCAAACAAGAGTCACGTCCACGTTCCTGTAGTGGGCTTGGGCTGCCTTTGGTTACAACAATCCACTTCCATCCATCACATTAAAAATACTGAAGGTGTGGTCCTGTTTTCCAAATTGTTAGGCCAATGGTGTCTTTTTTTTTAGTGGTAATTGAAGTGTATGTTGTATGAAAGGGTGGGTCTGTTATCTACTTTGAACATTTCTTTTTGCATGGAAGAATGATAGGAAGAAGGCTTCATTGTTTTTATTAGTGGTTTGGGAATGACTAGTGTTATCAGTTAATTAATTCTCACTGGTCACGTGTTGATAAATACTACTACTACTACTACTACTACTACTACTACTACTACTACTACTACTACTACTACTACTACTACTACTACTACTACTACTACTACTACTACTACTACTACTACTACTACTACTACTACTACTACTACTACTACTACTACTACTACTACTACTACTACTACTACTACTACTACTACTACTACTACTACTACTACTACTACTACTACTACTACTACTACTACTACTACTACTAGTAATATAAAGTAACACTTATTATATAGCGTTAATTCCGTAAAGTTCAGTAGCACTTCACAATAAAAATAATGAGGAATTGTTAAAAACATGAATACTTAAATAAGCAAAAGAAAATTCACATGTAAAATTTACGTGTAAATAAGAACTAACTGGTGTTATTTATCCACTCTTTCTCTTTCAGATTATAGTAGCTGTTGAAAATAAGGAGCTACCAGAACTTAATAAGTTGTACCAGCGAGGTCTGGAGAATGGAGTTAAAGACCTTAAAGTCCTAAACTCCAAGGAAATAAAAGATGTTGAACCCTATTGTGAGGTGAGTTTACTTTGAGCCATGCACAGGAAAATACAAAAATGTTACAGTATATCGTAATGGAAATTTTGCTTAAGCTGGTGGGATATTTAACAGTTGACAGAGTTTCTTGTCATCATTTGAGGGGTGCTTGGAAGTTTGAGGACATGATTCATGGCTCAATACAGTTTTTAGTACTGCTCAACTGTGGCAGGCATAGAATGCCAAGTTAGAGAGACTTTGGTACACACACTTGACGTGAGTCTTTCTGTTGCTGGTAAACTAACATCTAATTTGTAACTTGATGGTTTGTTTGCAGGCATGGGCAGACGGTAATTCAGTGTTTGTAATTAAAAGTATACCTCATTCAAATGTCCATGAGTCATGAGAGAGTTAGTCATCTTGAGATGGTGAAATTTCTCATGAAAAGTTTCACTACTTTTCTTGTTTTGTTTTTAGGGTTTGGCTGCCATATTTTCTCCTAATACTGGGATTCTTGACTGGGCTGAAGTGGCCAGAAATTATGGGGCTGACTTTAAGAAGGCTGGTGGGGATATCTACACTGGATTTGAGGTCAGGTTAATGTCAAGCAGCAATAAACTGTTTATAGCTTAATTTATCGTAGTAAGATCAAGATGAGTGAACGTGAATATTATTTAAGGTGTATTAATTAAGACTTAACCTATGTACCACTAACAGTGTCAATAGACTGTTGGTAGACTATCGGCTGACAGAATTTTAGGGGAGCTCTTCTTCACTTTTACAAGTCACACAAGAGCCAATTGACAGTAAATTTTGTAAATCAATAGCCCCTTAGCTTGCAGCTCCCAGTCACAAGGTCTTATTCATGCAAAAAGTATGGGATTGAAAGCCCATTTTGAGGTGATTTACACAGAAGACTAAGATTGCCTAGATTTTATAATTATTGGAATATCTTGAAAATTCTTAAGAGTTTCAGTGGAAAAAATACTCGACCACAAGAGGTGTGTGTTCCAGCAATATACTCCATACTTTCTCCATATTCAAACCATACTGTTTCAGGCATTTTTTTGAATTGCCACTTGGGAATGTCTTTTAAGCATATGTCAGTATTTGTTTAATACATGTGTTTATGTATCAAAATAACATTATACTTTTGCATTCTTTGTACCATGATGCTCTTATGTTTCATACATTGTGAATATTGCATCATTTGGGAGTTATCTGTATTCTCCTCTACCCTGATGTTGAATATTTCTTGTGGCTACTCTTGTTTCCATCTGATGTACCTACTTCAGGGTCATGTTCTTGACTAGGAGTGGGGAAGGACGGGATTGACCTCTAACCATATCAAAATTAACATCACCCCCTTCAGACGAATGTTTTGGTTGGAGCTTCCCTCCCCTCGCAAAATTTCAGAATCACTCTTTCCTGTCTATTCCAATTTTATTACCTTCAACTGGAGCACGCTGGGAGCTGTATATATTTTTTCATTGAAACTTATCAGCCTGAACTTGTGTTAGGCCAAAACTCAAGTAAGTTTTTCTTTCAATGATGATATGGCTTTTTCAGGTCTCAGACTTCAGTTGTAGTCCAGAGAGTAACCGTTCACAAGCTAAAGAAGCAGGTAAAATACCAACTTTGTTTTGTTAAATCACTTTATAATGATTGTCAGCTGTTTATTTAAAGAGGGTAACGCTAAACAGTAAACTGACAAACCTGCAGCCCTCATTATGAAACAGTTAACAATTACAATTAAAAATATACATAGAAAACTCTGAAATTACAATTAAATTACAACAGTAAAAATGCAAATAAAAGTTTGTAAATGGGAAGCTATCACAATAATAAAAATTACAACAAAGAAAATTACATAGTTGTAACTTTGGAGACTTGATATCCTACCTGGCATGGGAGGGAAAAGGGACAGAGGAATGGGGAGAGAAGGAAAAGGTTGCCCGCTATAGGAACTCACTTTTGTTCATTTCTTTGTCTGCTGATGTCCACAAATTCCTGATTGGCTGAGCCACAATGGGTGACCTTTGACATGCATTAAGTGAGAAACAACCATGATGTAGGTATCAAAGGAAATATGTTCTATTGGCATAAGCTTTGGATCTAAAGATCACAATTATGCCAATCAAGTAGTGACACGTCGAAACTTCTTCCTCTCCCTTTCCCCCACTCCCTTTTCTCCCCCTTCTTCTCCCCTCCAAAGGAAGCCTTTTCAAAATCACTTTTGCCGGCACTGTTTCTTAATCGGTGTTTTACATTCTCCTTAGGTCACTCTCACCCAGTGACGGTTCACGGCAAAAATGTGGTAAGCTCCATGTTATTTGGGATCTTGTTTGTACTTGCCAGCCTAATAGTGTTTGCGTAGTGGATCTCCCTCACTTATATTTTAATAACTCTCTTATACGCAACTTTAGTGTGTTCAGTCAGGGTGCTTGGCCCCGCGAAACGTGTGTTATTCTCCTGTATCGGCTTAATTATCTGCCATGGAATCGTGATTATATGTACTTTCGTTGAAATTTATCCTATTTCAGGGGCACCCAACAAGATTATTGTTCAAAACCACTTAAACATAGCATTGTTAAACGTATTTTAGTATATAAACAGTAGATATCGGCATATTTTTATCCCCCCAAAATTTTTCATCTGTTCGGATTTCCTAGCTGAAATTCTAGTGATTCGAAAATTATAGGGATCAAAACTTACCTTTTCGGAAAATTTCAGCCAGAAAAAAGGCTTCCGAAAATTCTAGGTGACCTTTTTAGGGAAAAAATCTGTTAAAAATGGGCAATTACACCATTTTTTAGATGTTCGAAAATCCGAGGAGAGGCAGGCAAGCAAGAAATTTTACAACAAATGTGTCGAAAATTGTAGATCTCAAATCGTCTTCCGAACAGATAGTTTCCGAAAATTAACGTCGGGTGCCCCTGCCATTTGACCAAAAGACAAAGAAATAGTTTTGCCTAAGGACTTTTCATGCATTTTATTTGCCTCTTGTATGATCGGCCAATAGTTGGTTGCCTAAAAAGCTCTGAACTATCTTCAACTGTGTTGATGGCTTCCATTCTTTCACTTCAGAAGTTTTAAGGAAAGTTTTTAGAAAGTTGCACAGGTGACAACAAACGCAATAACAACTACAACAACAACAAATTAAAAACGCGCCCTAGTCATAATTGAACTATTCTTTAGTCCCCTCTTAGTTGCCGTTATGTTGTCACGTGTGGAGGTTTATACTCGGATCGTCTGGCAGAGAAGTCGGGCTGCCCGAAAGACCCTCGGATTGTTCCATTCAGAGGAGAATACCTGAAACTCAAGGATGAGAAAAGCTTTCTAGTCAAAGGAAACATTTATCCGGTAGGTTTTCTTAGCAGGGAAGCATAAGAAAAGCTAGATCAGTTTTAATAATAATTAAGCTCAAGTATCATCTTTAGACAAAATTGCGAGGATAGGATCTCGAAATTAAAATTTAAAAATGATAACTAATTATGCATAAACCTTATCACAATGGCATGTTATGTTGAGGTCAGCTATAATTTTTTATTAAAAAAATATGATTCAGATATGTAAATTAATAATGACGTTATTGGTTTTGTGGTCATTATTTACTTCTGGTACATATCGAAGGTACAAAATGCCAGAAACAAGTTTTCTTATCGCAAAAGTTTCAACACAGTCAATATTTGTTTTTGTTTTCTGTATACAGTGCACGGATAGTTGTCAACCAAAAAGCGCGCATTGACTATTTTCCAATTGCCCATAATACACTCTGTTTGCCCCCCAAATTTTGCATAACTTATTGTCTTAAAATGCTCTTGGGAAAATGCAATACTCCCAGGAGCATTTAAAAACAATGGTTTATGCAGAATTTGGGGGGCAAACAGAGTGTATTATGGGCAATTGGAAAATAGGGAATGAGCAAATGTGGTCTATGTGAATCTGTTGAATGCCGGAAAAACGTTCCACAGCAGTAGCTACGACTCTGCCATTAGCAGTTTGATGTCGCAAAACGTACGGGGTAGTCTGTCCCTGTTAAACCCGTCCTTGGCATTCAACTTAGCACTTGTTCATTAATTAGTTACTTGACTGATCGAGTAATGGATTAATTCATGCTTTGTAGGTACCAGATCCCAACTTTCCTTTCCTTGGGGTTCATTTTACCCCGCGGATTGACGGCAGCGTGTGGCTTGGGCCCAATGCTGTTTTGGCATTCGCTCGTGAAGGATACAAACTAACAGATGTGAATGTTAAAGACCTGATAGACGCTTTAGGATATCGGTATGTAGTTAACGCCTTGTTTGTGTGTTTTTGACTTTGAAATCCACACAGTGGAAGACGGAGAGAAAGTAACAGTGGTTTATTATTTTATGTTTTAATGGGCTGTTGGAAAAACTATGTCAGTGTATTTAGCATGAACGTACTAATTGGGAACGCAATTTTCACGTTTCCTATGGAAGCCGGGACCGCAATAGGCCACTTCCGAGTTTCCCCGAGCCTCTGTATCAGGACGAGGTTAAGTGCTCAGCCTTTAATATGCAAATAAAACTCATTTCCACAAGAAAGGTTGTGTACTTGGCCTCATTTTGAAAGTGAGGGTTTTTGGAACTCGGAAGTGGCCAATTTAACGTGGTCATCCAAGTAATGCGATGGTCTAGCCGCTTGCAGGAGGGCACATTTTTTCCTCACACAATTGGCGTGATGGGCTTAGAGCTTAAAGCATTAACTTGACTTAACTTGTTGTCTATGCCTAAGTCACAAAAAAAACAAAACAAACAAAACACGAGTTGGCGCTGTGCCTCAAGTGACAAAATTGTGGTATGATAGTACAGTAAAATCAATGGCCCAAAACACCATAGTCAGAGCATTGTAGTATGTATCACAACAATTCAAGACATTTGTTACATACATAAGAGCTCTAGATGAGGGACGTTTGTGTCGAATGAAAACTTTTCAAGAGCTGCTTGGTTTTCTATGTTTTGGAAAATAGAGTGGAGAAGTAGTTACGTCACGTTGCCGTGGTAGCAAAATTTCTCGATGACAACAAACTGAAAACGTCACTGAAAAAGTGAATTCGTACTATTTCAAACTTCATCGATGTTATCGAATTTCATTTAATTTGTCAAATGTTGGCGAAATTTCCTGAGGTTGAATCCGAAAGGATCGTGTCTAAGTTTAGAAAAAGACGAAGAACATTTTTGTGTTGTGTTCACTTACTCCATAAATTGGGCGCGTGAAATTAGGAAGTTTCATGTGGCAGTCGTGCAACGACGGCTGGGAAATGTACAAAAAAGCGTGATGCACCTGCAAAGTTGTTGTTTTACTAATAGAAACTTATTGCTTTTTTGCCGTTCTCGTTGCCGTCGCCGTCATCGTTGCTTAAGCTCCCTATTGTTGTCATCCAGAAATTTTGCAACCATGGTAACGTGACGTCATACCTCTGCTCTCTATTAAGGCCTTTTACAGTCGCAAAAGATGATTTTTTTTTTACCAAAGCTGAGAAAAAAGGTCACTGACTCGTCTTTTACCAAGGTGTAATTACCAAACTAACCACCTTTACCATCCCAGCGCCATTTGTAACGAAAAAAAACGCAAACAGGTGGTTAATCGTCTTTTGATTTTTGTGTTTCAGAGGCCTTAGAAAGCTGATGTTTCAGTATTTCACGTTTGGTGTTGGGGAATATTACCGTGGAATTGTCAAATCTGCGCAAGTAAAACAACTGCAAAGATATGTACCCAGTCTAAAGGTCGAGGACGTCGAGAGGTGAGGAACAATTTGATGTGTTTCGATTAAAATGTCCTTTGCTCTATGAGGCACCTGACGATGAGACCAAAGTTTTTGAAACCACGCTTAAACATAAGGCTGAAGAATAATATGTTCTTAGACAACGCAGTAGTATCGAGTCATTTGGGAGCTTAAGCAACCACCACGACGGCGACAACGACAACGTCAATATTCAATTGCACGTGCGTCACCCTTTTTCTAGTAAATTTACGACTCCGACGTAAAACCTCCTAATACGAGCGACGTGAGCCTACAACCACGAGTTTTCCTTTCTCTTTTGAACCTGGATAAAGTTCTTAACAATTCAACTCCAACATCCAAGGAAAATCGCCTTCATTTGACAAATTAAGCGCGTCCAAAATAACGCAATAAAGTTTGAAAGGACGCAAATTCATTTTTTAGCGACGTTTTCGCTGCCGTCATTGTCCTCATTGTCGATCGGTCTTAAGCTCGCTATTGGTCAAGCCCTAACTGAAAGCCATCTTCGTCACTTCATGTCCCGTTGTTTGTTTTGAAACTCGTCACCAGTTTCCGTGGTAATAGATAGGCCTTTTCTTAGCTTATTGCACAAACTTCACTTTCAAAGCGAGGCCTACAGCTGTAGTTCAAAAATATCTACTGTGACGATAGTATACTACACTATTAGTTGGCCCCATCATCATAACACGGCTGAGAGTAGTTAAAAAAATGCTCATCCTAAAAGATCCCATAACAACATTGATACAGATATTTTTAACCAATCAGGGGCCCTGCAGGAGTTCGTGCCCAGGCCATGGACAGTGATGGCAATTTAGTTGATGACTTCGTATTTGATGGAGGTACCGGGGACATAGGGAGCCGAGTCCTGCACGTGAGAAATGCGCCTTCTCCAGGGGCTACCTCCTCATTGTCCATCGCTAAAATGGTTGCGGAGAAAGTGGAGGAACGATTTCACCTCTGAGAATCATTGGGAAACCGATCATAAACTCCTTATAAAATTACATAAATTCATAGAAATTTTATCAATAACATTATTTTGAGAGTGTGATAAGTAAATTCAATCTCTCGGCGAGGGTAACATACCTGATTGGAACTTAACTTCGCGTGTCTTTAATTTCGCATTTTTCGCGATTGTTAAAAAATCGCGAAATTAAAGATCCGCGAATGAAATAAACACGCGAAATTTAGTACCCATATAGAAAATCCAAATCACAGAAACAAAAATAATATACAGGAGATATATCGACAAATACACTTTTACTAGTAAGTTCCATTTTGTATCTTCTGTTGTGAAATAACGTTCGTTAATTTGCAAAGATACCCTGTTTACCTTAAAGCTAATTTGTGAAACATGTGTTTTGCGTGCTCCAGTTTACCTAGAACTATACAAGTCGGAAAACTAAAATGAAGTTGAGAAACTTTAAGATCCTTGAATTGCGAAATTTAATGCCTTTTTTCACATTTGCATATTGAAATCGCGAAAATAAAAACCCTGCGAAATACTGTCTCACCAAAATCGCGAAATTAGGTACCAATAAGGTATGTATTTCTATTATTTCTCTTCACACTTTCGTTAAAAGGCGAGTCTAACTCAGTTCTTTTCAAAATTAATCACATAATCCGTCATCAACGTTACTCTTATAGATCGACATATACCTCTCTATTAGCCCAGTAATGTGATTGTTACAGTTAAACCTAGAACCCTCTTTAGATGTCCAAGATCTGTTCGCCATGTACTACTTTTGGGCAGTAGAACCTTTTAGACTATTTTAACAAGTAGTAACATAAATTCAAGTAGGTAGGATAAAAAAGATGTTCTGGTTGATGAAGGTCTTCCATTGTAAAATAATGCTTCCTTTTTACAATATACACTTTCCATTTCAAATTTAGACATCATAACTTATTGACCTAATAATATGTGGGATAGTATTACTGCCTTAGATTATATTATTTGTCTTTTAACTGATTACATCGAGAAATGAATAAACTTTTAGAAATGAAGGCCATTTTATGTCAGTTGTGTAGAAAGGAATACTTGTTGAAGATAGCAAATCTCCTTGAGTATACTTCCAGAATTTCCGTTTGGTTTAGGTAACAAGAAACGCTGATGAAATCCAAGATATAAACTTGACGACAATTTTGAAGGCGATGGGGAGTAGGGTGCTCAAACATTTGTTCTGGGTGGTGAGAATGATTGGTTGGCGAATACAATGGCTTCGCAATGTGCTATTTATAACATATACGCTTTCCCAAACTGCGCTTTTCAACAACACTGCAAAGTGGCGAGGTGGCTGCAATGTGCATGCCCCCGAAAACGGAAGTTTGTGAAGTTTTTTGACTGGGTTGTAGTTTTATCCCTGGAACACCCACTATTTCCTGCTATCGCTGACCATAAAGAGATAAAGAGACTTGAGGGACCATGATGCAACACGTGTTTATCAAAGCTCAACCGCGAGGAAGGGCTCTCTTCCCGTCGCGCGTGGCTCACGCTCTGTAGCCCCCTGGCGCTTGCCTCCGCCGCCTAAAAAATTGCATTTATATTTATCCAATATCCATTTCTTCAGTACTCGCAATGAACTGTCGCAAGAAAGCAGTGTTTGGTGTATTTTGGTGGAATATGAGTAGACACACTGTAGGATTTTATCCTTTGACTAGAAACTTTGAATTCCATTGTAGTGCATAATATGTTGTAACACAGGAATTTGCTGCTCTGTAGCTTCACACACTTCAGGTTTTCATCCACAGACTCAAAAGTTAGAACTGTTAAAAAAGCGAAAAAGCACAGCCTTAAACAAACTTTAATCCGCTCGACAAGGCTGCAAACCGAGAATGGTACGACTTCAAATCTTCGAGTGACTACGCTGGGACAGAGTCACGTAACACTTAGCCTGTTCCAGGTATTCAGATAGTCGGGCGCGGGCGAAAACACGAGGAGGGAAAAATGGAAACAAGAAATATCGGCTAAACTGACAAGTAAAGATGTAATCTGTCTCTCACTTTATACAATGAAATAAAGTCAAGTTAGTGATCCTTATTTTATTACGCCTCTATTTACCTTTACAGTTTAAAATGACGTTTTCCAATACATTTTTCCGATCGTTCCTGAACTATTGAGTATAACATGTCTAGTCCCCTTCATTGGTACAGTTTCAAAACCTCTCAGAGACACACGCTTCACTTGATACAAAGTGCCAGATATTTCTCAAAAATCTTCCGGACGTATCTTCATCTCGGATCTCTTCAAATTGTAGTTACTGTTTTTCCAGTGGTACCAGGAGATTCTTCTACCATTCAGATTGGAGTAGTAGCAATTTTTGTACCACCAGGCGCCTGTGAAACTCAAGGCACAGTTTCGTGCGCCGTTCTTGTCATTATCACGATCCTTGGTGGTAAATGACATACCACGATGATAACCAAGCGAATCACCAGCGGTTCCTGCAAAAATTAAGAGAAAAAAAACACAAAATAAAGGCTCTATTTTCGGTGTTTTTTTGGAAAGTTGATTCACGTACTTCCACTTCGTCTAAGTAATATCCACTAGAACTGTTACAGACTGGACGAAACAGAAATTGAAAACAAACGGCACAGACATTCTTTAGAAAAGCCAAGAGTAAATGAGAGAGGTAGAAAATAGGCTTCATTCCTTTTTTGCCTCTAAAATACTCCACGAATTCCCAGGGGAGGGGTCTTGTACTTGCTGAATAATCAATGAAATACCCTTAATTTCTGAACTCTCAAGACGTGGGCCAATCCTTTTAAAACTTTTTTATATGATTTAATATGACATTACAAATAAGGTCAATTGTTGTTATAAAAATCAACTGATAACTTCCACATTCCAATCGCGATCAATTGGGCAAGAAAAAAAAACTTATTTTCTTTCTTTCTTTTTTCTTTTGTCATTGTATTTGGCAAGCATTTGGCAATTAGCAACATTTTTCGCCAACTGATTCTTTTTCAATCTTGCATGAACTTACCCGAATAATTTCCCAAATTCAGTTGGTATTTCGCTGTCTCGTTTGTCACAGAAAAGGAGCTGTACTCGGCAAATGCAGTTTTTCCATGAATGTCTTCCAAGTCAACACGGAGTTTATAACCACCACTTACAGTCAGCCGATGTATCTTGTCCAAACCGAGCCAGAACTCACCACTCAGATTGCCAAAACCGCGTTTGTAATCATCCCAAGCGCGGAAGAAATCAACAGAGCCATCTCGCCTCTTCTGAAACACTGTCCAACCCCCACCGGCAGTTTTCTGATCACAGAACACTTCAAATTCGCCCAGACCACCAAGATAAATTTTATTCACTCCACTGATCTTGGCACCGGACTTGTAGACTTCAGCGCAGTTCTTGTAAACTGAATACAAAATGATCATTCGATGCGGTAATAATTAGTTTTTGGCTAATATTTCCAGGCGGGTTCTTCGAGATAAGTTGTTAATCCAAAATAAGAGTTGGCAAACTCAAGAAAAAATGTGACAATAGCTGAGCTGCAGGTGCCCATCAAATGGGCTTCTGCTGATCATGAGCTGTTAATGTATCATTTAGAGGTCTTTAGACTCAGTTTCAAACATTTGAATTAGCCCTCCCTCTGTTTTGGATTGTTCTTGGATCTAACAAACGAACATCTACTTGACCCATAAAACTTGTTTTAAGAACTCATTAGTAAAATAAGAAAAGTATTTCCGTTGCATTTTTCGGCGAGAGGTTTTGACGGCATTTTAGTGAGACATTGATGACAATGAGGATCCACTTTGCTCATTTGTAGTACAAATGGCTGAGAAAAAGTCAAGAAAACGGTTGTGGTTTAGTGATTTTTTCACATTGTAAAGACAGTGCATTTACAGCTTTTAAAAAGGATGCACAGCTATGAACGAGGTATATGAGAAGGGTACCATTTTTCAATAGAGGGTGTACAGAAGCTCGTAAGAAAACAAAGTTACTTGAAGCTCAAAATTAAAATCAGTATTGATAGCAAACGTTTTTCAAAGCAAAATGTTCCACCAGACAATGTTTTTCTCTTTTTCGAAACTTTACATATAACAGCCACGAGACATATTTGTCTGACACAAGCGGTTATTTTGTCATCTACCAGCAATTCATTGAGCAATTTCATCGCTACCAGTGCTGTGCTTTGCAATAACATGAGACCTCAAGTCAAAATTGTATCTAACGTCTGGGCTGTTAACACTCCCGGATAATCCGGGAGACTTGACGTGAGATTTTGAACCGTTTCTCCCGGTCACCAGATTAGAGTCTGAAATCTCCCGGATAATCGCCCAAGTTTACCATTTCTTCCCTTTGACTATCTGACAATGAAATTTCAAATATTTTGCGTCGTTTGAGCAATTTTATTGTTAACATCGCACGTTTCCTCACAAACTTCGGTATGCCATTGTAATATAAGCAATAATGTGATTGGTGGTAAGTAAACCAGTTAGGTCAAATGTTACAATTCCAACAACATCTTTTTCGGGCGTTTTTTTCCACAAATGACGTAATGTGCCTTGCATAATGACGTCATCTATCATCGCTTCTCCATCAATTCTCAATATTTGAAGACGTGGGGGGTTGACAGTCCTGCCATTTCCTTTAAGTTTTGAAGTGAGGGACATTCGTTGACATTTAAGCACGTCTTAACCATACGACATCATTATAGGGTAATCAACTTAACACTATACTAACCAATTTCACATCGATTGCCAGAAAATCCAGGCGGGCAACTGCAGTTGAATGCATTGATTCTGTCAGTGCAAGTTCCGTTGTTCAAACAGCGACCGCTCTCACACTCGTTTATATCTGAACGAAAAAATAATCACAGATAAATTGCAAACAAAGTTACTTGAAGCCCAAAATTGAAATATTTATAGCAAACGTTTTTCAAAGCAAAATGTTCCACCAGACAATGTTTTTGTTTTCTAAACTTTACATATAACAGCCACGAGACATATTTGTCTGACACAAGTGGTTATTTTGTCAACTACCAGCAATTCATTGAGCAATATCATCGCTACATGTACAATTGCCGCGCTTTGCAATAACATGAGACCTCAAGTCAAAATTATATCTAACGTCAGGGCTGTCAACTCTCCCGGATAATCCGGGAGACTTGACTTGAGATTTTGAACCGTTTCTTCCGGCCTCCAGATTAGAGTCTGAAATAGCCTGTTCCAGGCTCCGAGATAGTCGGGCCCGCGGAATTGAGAAAGCGCGAAAAATAAAAAAACGAGAGGAAACTGGGGAGAGGGGGAGGCGGCGGAAAAGGGTCGTAAAAGAAATGCTTGAACATTCTTTAATATTAGTTTACCAACTGTAAGTTGGAATATCTCATGTTTACGTGTTAAAATCTTGCTTGGTCCGGTCTCGCTAAACTACTGCTATCAGGAGCCGATAAGTAATCGGCTCCTGCTGCTACAGGATAAAGTTAGCCTGTTCCAGGCTCCGGGATAGTCGGGCCCGCGGAATTGAGAAAGCGCGAAAAAAAAAACGGGAGGAAACTGGGGAGAAGGGGAGGCGGCAGAAGAGGGTCGTAAAAGAGATGATTACACGCTCTCTCTCCCCTCGTTTTCCCTTTTTCCCGCCCCGCCCCCATTTTCGCGCGCCCTACACTTTCGCGTCTTCCCCACTATCAAAGAGCCTGGAACAGTCTGAAATCTCCCGGATAATCGCCGAAGTTTGCCATTTCTTGTAGATTCGACTTTCTGACGATGAAATTTCAAATATTTTGCGATGTTTAACATCGAACGTTTCCTCACAAACTCCGGTATGCCATTGTAATATAAGCAATAATGTGATTGGTGGTAAGTAAACCAGATAGGTCAAATGTTACAATTCCAACAACATCTTTTTCGCGCGTTTTTTTTTTCCACAAAGACGTAATGTGCCGTGCATTATGACGTTGTCTATCATCCCTTCCTCAATATTTGAAAACGTGGAGGATTGACAGCCCTGAGCAAGTATCCTTAGCTTAAAGTTTTTAAAAGGAGGATAACAAAGAAATAACAATTATCCATAAAGCACTTTTAAAATTTAGCCACGCCCGCTGCCATGCTACAAAAATTGGAGTGTGTTTGTGGAACATTTTGCAGATTTCAATGTCTGGGTTTGATAAATTGGCAGCGAAAACCGATAGAACTTGGACTTAATTCTGTTCGAACTTGGATAACTTGCATAACTGCTTCGTTTTAAACAGCTTTGTCATAGAAAGGAGTGTACTTTAATTATCAATATACTGTTTACCTTTTTCACAGTTTTCTCCGTGGTAGCCAGCCGGGCAAACACAAACGTATTTCTTCTCAGTATACCCCATGTAGCACTTCCCGGTGTTAAGGCAAGGTTTCTTGGCGCAAAGATTCTGATTAAGAGGAAACACATTGTACATAAAACCCTCCCATCTTCGTTCTTACGTAAGAACTACAACTGACAAAACGTCCTTCACTTCTGACCTTCAACAANTTGGCGCAAAGATTCTGATTAAGAGGAAACACATTGTACATAAAACCCTCCCATCTTCGTTCTTACGTAAGAACTACAACTGACAAAACGTCCTTCACTTCTGACCTTCAACAAGTGCCTTGACATACTGTTTTTAATTTTTCCGATCTGTACCCTGCGTGCCCGCGACTTGTTATACACGGTTTACGGTTTGGCGGTGCTTTAATCGCCGCTCGTGGCGTCGGGCTTCTGCCGAGGATATGTCTAAAGATACATGATGATACATCCCGCCCCACGCAAGAAAAAACCTCTGGTACTCAATTGGCAGATCCTTTACTGCTGTTTCACCAATGGTACGATTGGTACCAATAGAAAAGCACTAAGGGTATCCAATCTGTTGACACTTGGTATAAACTGTTCAAGTGGTTGACTCATATGCCTACTAAATTCCGCAGAGTCATTGGATCCCCGGAGGAAAATCCCATATGAAAATGACTGACGGGGATGCTAGTCGTTTCTCTTGAAGGTGGATTTCCACTGTCGCGTAATTTTTCCATGGGAACGCATGTAAAATGTACGCGCGTAAATGAAATTGAGGCAAAGTATGAAAGGCCACGCGTAAACGTGAAAGCTGGGCGAGGTTCAACTTTTACGTTTACGCGTGACCTTCCATACACTGTTTCTGTTTTATTTACGCGCGTAACTTTACATGCGTACTTACGACAGTGGAAATCTACCCTTGGGGCCTTCAGGACGGAAAGCCAATATTATTGTGCGTTAAGAAATATCTATACAAATCAAGTGCCGTCGCCTATTTCCCTTTCGTAAACGGTCTTTGCCACTGTTAACGGTCGATGCCACCATTAGTGATATATTCCCTGGATTAAGTTACAAAAAAACAAAAAATAGATTTTCGAATAGTGTTAGAAAGAACGACGTTGGAGCCCAAGTTGTTGTTGTTGTTAAAATTTACGAAAAGGGCTCGGGTCACCTGTTATTGATGTGACAGTTAAGAAAGACAGTTTGTTAGTGTATTTACTTAAAATTTTGGGAATTTTGGCGGGTTGGTGTGGTAATGTCAGTGGTATGGGAGAGAGGTTAGGATAGAGTCCGGATTCGAGGCCTGGTTTGGCCCTAGGTTGCGATTTTCTTTCTTTTTCATAGAAACACTTTCAATAACAGGTCAAAAAATTTTTAAGTGTCGTAAAAATAGCAGCGACCGTTTACGAAAGGGACAACGGCAGCGCCGTTACACCGCGTTAAATACTGCATTCGAGTACAAAAATCTCTTATCTGGTGTGTGTTTTAGTCAGTCTCCTTAGGAGTGAAGGCGCAGGCGCTTGCTTTATGCGTCATTTCAAACTTTCTTAAGGTCTTCTGTTTCTTTGGGGACCCAGTTAAGCTAAGCCATTTGAAACATGCTTCCTTCCTCTTTTTCACTATATGCTACGTGTTATACTTTCGAATTGACTGTTCCTGATATTGAGTTGCTCTTCAATTGGAATTGTAGGGCCGGGAGGCGAAGTGGTTTGAAAGTTTTAACGAAATTCTGTTTTCATGCGCGAGTCTCTTCAAACTGTACTTTCTGCGATTTACAGGTTTGCATTCAGTACTTCTAAGACTCACTTTAAGAGTGGCACGTAGGATACGGTGGTCGGAGTCGATCTCTACACTTTTTAAGGTCTACACTAACAGTTTCTTAGTGAGTTAGGCCACCTACTAATGACCAGGATATGGTCAACTTTGGCACAAGAGCCCAACGGGTGGGTTCAGGTCTACTGCGTTCACCTTGGGTGGGGAAATCTGGATTGAGCATGTCGTAGGTTGGTTGCAGGGCAAAAGTTTAAGAGTCTCTCCCGGTTGTTGTTTGTGGTGTCGTGTAGAAGGTGGGGACTCACTACTCTTGCTTAAGCAACTATCATCAACCAGATTCACACGGAACTGAAGGTCCGTGCAACTCCATGACATTCACAACCGAGGGTGTACCGTCCATCTCAGCAGATTCGAGAATGTTATCTTTTCATGTTTGACATAAAAATATACTAAAATACAATGAAAACAAACTAGACATAAAATGATAGTGTATACGGATGTCATACCTTTGTGCCTCTGTAGTTCCAGTCACGTCTTGGTTTGAGATTTTCAGGGTGCTGCAAGTCATCTGAATTACTGAGCTCACAGGCCATTTTGTTGTCAATGCGGGGACCAGTATTATAGGAGACACAATCTCTGGCTAACGTGCATTGGACTTGGCAGTCTCGGTTTAGTTCCACTGAGAGATTTAAAAACACGTGGCCTTCAAGGTAAAATCCGTTAGCTGGCGTTAGAAATGTGACGTATCGGTTGTAACGAGCGCATTGACCTTAGAAAGAAATTCAGAAAGTAATCAGTTAAATGTTTACTGAATAGGAGGTGTTTGAAGGGAAAGAGAAAAGAGAAATTAGGGCACACGATAGTGCTCACATCTCTTCACGCCGTCCCCACGATCTGAACGCCTGGAACAGGCTAGACACACGAGTGCACTAATAATGGTATGAGTAAGTAGGCTGGGAAACGCTCCTTTTGGCCAAATGCTGCTGCGGTTACGATCTTGTCAAGGTGTTATTTGAGGACGGCCTATATTCCAGTTAGCGCGCACGGTAATGATTTCTACTAGTCGGCCGCTTGATACCTAGTTCGTTTTAACAAATCGGGCTTCTTCGGCTCAGTATTTGAGTAAAAAACGGGTCAGAATAATAGGGTCCCCGCTAGCGTTCCGTTCTCGCCTTTCTAGAGCGTTTCAGCCAAACTTTTCCGCGTTTTCATTTTGCAAAAAGAGCGCTACATTTGATAATCACTTACTGCATGGGCGAGCTAAGTTGAAATTTCTCAAATAAACTCGCCAGAATTGTCAGAAACCCGAAACCATCAGATGCATAGGAGTCACTGAGTTGTTAAATGTGCGTAATGATGACTAATTTCATTGACTTTCCTCTGGCTATCCTTTAGTTATTTAAGCCTCGCACAAAACGCCTAAAGTTTTCCGTGATGCCGAATTTATAATTAGAATTAAAGCTAACTTTCCTTTTTCTCTACTACGCTGCGGAAATATGCACCTTTTTCTCAACACCAGTAATTAGTGCTATTGAGGTTGGAAAAACCGGTCATATATAAGTAAATCATTAATGAAGAGAAATTGTAAAAGATCAGAAAGGCATAGAAAAAAATAGATATGCACCTATAGAGCACACTGGTGCAGTTTTTGCAACTGAAAAGCCCCATAAAAAATCACCTGCAGCACAAAAAGTTAGAAATATTGACACATAAGAATGACTCAACATGAACAATGACTGATACGTAAATCTTTTGTATACAGGAACTTGTTGGTAACGTTCCATTGTATTCTTTGTTTTCTCCCTCAAGACGCAGCTTAAATAGAGATATACGGGATTCCTTCCCCAATTTGTTTTATTGTGTCTTCATCAAAATTTTAGTTTCATTAAACCAGATTACTTTTCCGTAAGCCAAACGTAATTCCCAAAAGCATTTGTTAAAAATTGGACGTTAATTAGGTTTGGAGCATTTCAGCACTGGTTGATGCAAAGTGAGAGTTTTTCGTATTGTTGGCTCGCCTTTTTTCGAGCAATGATATATAGGAACCTCTTCAAAAGATTTGTGGACGGTGACTGGCCGGTAAAAATTAACGTACGATTAGCCCCATAAAAAAATCGCCTGAAGCACAAAAAGGTAGAAATTTGACAGTTAAGAATGACCCAATATAAAGAACGACTGATATGTAAATCTTCGAGACAGGAACTTGGTGGTAATGTTCCATTGTATTCTTTGTTTTCTCCCTCAAGACGCAGCTTCCTTCTCCAAGAGAGAGAATTTGTTTTACTGCGTCTTCAAAACAATTTTAACTTCATTAAACCAGATCACTTTTCCGTAAGCCAAACGTAATTCCCCAATGCGTTTGTTAAAAATTGGACGTTAATTAGATTTAGAGAATTTCAGCACTGGTTGATGCAAAGTGAGATTTTTTCATATTGTTGGTTCGTCTTTTTGTCGAGCAATGATATGTAGGAACCTCTTCAAAGATTCGAGGACGGTGACTGGCCGGTAAAAACCTTGCTTAAAATACATACAGACATACATTAACTTAATTGCATAGCTCGACCCCCTTGGAGGTTCTTCCGCCATACATACACGAATTAAAAAAAAAAATTAGAAAATAAGATAAAATAAAATAGACTAGGAAACTATTTACATTTCGATGATAAAATAACGAATTTCTATAAACAATAATGATAGTAATAAAACATTAATTTTTAAAACTATTTACATTTCAATAACTAAAAAAAACTATCCATGAATTAAAAAGATATTCAAAATTCTATTTTGAAAAACGTTAAGATTTCCCGTGTCTCTTATATCTTTAGCTATACTATTGTACAGTTTTGCCCCACGGTAGGTAAAAGTCTTTGGCCAGTGGCCAGCCTATACCGAGGCAACGTCAGGTCATTGTTATGTCTAGTGTCTCTTTGGTGATCGAGTTTTTGCACGATATTGCGAAAGCGCCCGTGAAGGTAACCAGTTGTTAGGTTCTTTAAGCGTTAATTTTGTACACCATCACTAGGTCGTTAAAAAGCAGTTTATCCCTTACGTTAAGCCATTTAAGGGACTTCAGGGCTTCTGAAAGATGACCGTATTTTCCTTAACCAGCTACGATTCTGCTGGCATAGTTCTGAACTAGCTGAAGTTTCTTAACGTTCTTCTTGCTCGTACTACTCCATACCGTCGAACAATAAAATATTTTGAATGTACAATCTTCACCTACTTTGACAAATGTGGGTGAACTCTCCTGGAGGTGTTTCACTACTCAGAAAAAGGCAAATGATAACATTGGCTTCTTGGCTTGTTAACGTCGTCCATAAAACGTGAAATTATAGGCACTTTTACCTTCTAGTTATATATGCAGTGACGGCAAAATAACTGTACATAAAAAAGTAATGTGCAGGCAAGGTTGTCGCTTTGCTTATTAAACCTAGTGCTTTTCTGACCGCATTACTCGTTGACATCGCCGTGCTCGGATCTCAGGAAACGCACTCCTGATAATTTCCTTTGCTGACGTCACGTCTATTTTTACATAGGAGTCGGCCGCGGAAAAATATCTACAATTGGTGGCTTTAAAATTACATGAAATTAACCAGAACTCTTGAGAGACAGGTGACTACAAGTAAAAGGAATAATCCTCAGTTCCAGTCTAAATTAGGAAAACTAGTTGAAAGCTACTAATAAGATACTTTATTAAGAGTCATCAAAAATGAAAATGTTGGTTAGAACACACATGATTTATATCCTCGATCCCAGAAGTATAAAGCTTTAATTGTACTTTCCCTGACTAAAGGGGAGCTGCATCTTTTACCTCCGGCATCGTGATTTGAAAGGTGTATTTATAACTCTTATTATAAGCCAGCTACGNATCCCAGAAGTATAAAGCTTTAATTGTACTTTCCCTGACTAAAGGGGAGCTGCATCTTTTACCTCCGGCATCGTGATTTGAAAGGTGTATTTATAACTCTTATTATAAGCCAGCTACGTTAAGTTAGAGAAATACTCCAACGTCGCTTTAATTAAGTGCTGCTCGGGCTACTTACGACACTAGTTGTTAAGGCCACACCTTGACAAAAAATACGGATCGCTTCGTGAATAACTTTTAACGAACACTTCACCAGCTGACTTCACTATGCTTTCTTTCAGGCAGTAAATTTAGTGTAACAAACTGAATATTCGTAAGTCAGCTTAATTCCGCAAAAGGTGCTATAAGTAAGCTAAGTAAGTCTTTTGATCTGTTTCTCTGATCGAGTATTTAAACCTCTGCAAAACAATGTCTACTGCATGCAACCTTTCCGAAAAAAAAAAGGCGGTTTCGGGGGTGATTTAGCAATAATCTTGCTTTTACCTTAGCTTGTAGTTGGTCGTTGTAAGCAGTATTACATAAAATGAATCACACTGCAAAGTCTGTCAGAGGCGCCTTCCAGAAAATATTTATCTTAAAGAAAGAGAGCTCTTATTTTGTCTACCTGTGTATTTTTTTTACCTTCAAGTGCAGTTACAATGCAGTTTAGCCAAGCTCCCCAAACAACAAACCCTAGCACCAGTGCTTGTACAGAGAAACAGCAACCTACAGCTGCCATACTGAAGGGCAAGGAAAGAATAACTCCCCACCAGACCTTTGCTTAGTACTAGAGATGAAAATACATTCGACCGATTTTAGTTGACGTCTTTATTCTTGAATATTAATTAGTGTTTACTTATTTAAAAGTTCTTGTAAATCAGGTTCAAGTTTCAATTGTTGTATGTTACAGATGACTGCAAAGCTCTTTTTTTTGTTTCCCTTTTTAATCTCATTTCACAGTTTGATACGTCCTCTGACGCAGATTCATACGCTACAATTAATCATTGAAGCTAGGAGCTTCATCTGTCCTGGAACACTCTTGGGGATTAATTAAATTAGACTCAATAGGTTTAATAAAACGTGGCCTTCAAGGTAAAATCCGTTAACTGGCGTTAGAAATGTGACGTATCGGTTGTTACGAGCGCATTGACCTTAGAAAGAAATTCAGAAAGTAATCAGTTAAATGTTTAGTGGTAGTTGATATTTGATAGAGAAATTAGCTTGAATAGGAGGTGTTTGAAGGGAAAGAGAAAAGAGAAATTAGGGCAGACGATAGTGCGCAGATCTCTTCACGCCGTCCCCACGATCTGAACGCCTGGAACAGGCTAGACACACGAGTGCACTAATAAGGGTATGGTAAGTAGGCTGGGAAACGCTCCTTTTGGCCAAATGCTGCTGCGGTTACGATCTTGTCAAGGTGCTATTTGAGGACGGCCTATATTCCAATTAGCGTGGTAATGATACCTAGTTCATTTTAACAAATCGGGCTTCTTCGGCTCAGTATTTGAGTAAAAAACGGGTCAGAATAATAGGGTCCCCGCTAGCGTTCCGTTCTCGCCTTTCTAGAGCGTTTCAGCCACACTTTTCGGCGTTTTCATTTTGCAAAAAAAGCGCTATATTTGATAAACACTTACTGCATGGGCGAGCTAAGTTGAAATTTCTCAAACAAACTCGCCAGAATTGTCAGAAACCCGAAACCATTAGATGCATGGGAGTCACTGAGTTGTTAAATGTGCGTAATGATGACTAATTTCATTGACTTTCCTCTGGCTATCCTTTAGTTATTTAAGCCTCGCACAAAAAGCCATAAGTTTTTCGTGATACCGAATTTATGATTAGAAAGCTAACTTTCCGTTTTCTCTACTGCGCTGCGGAAATATGCACCTTTTTCTTAACACCAGTAATTAGTGCTATTGACCCTTTTAAAAGTAAGTCGTTTTTTTAATGAAAAGAAATTTTAAAAGATCAGAAAGGCATAGAAAAAATAAATATGCACCTATAGAATAGAGCACACTGGTGCAGTTTTTGCAACTGAAAAGCCCCATAAAAAAATCACCTGCGGCACAGAAAGGTAGAAATATTGACACATAAGAATGACTCAATATAAACAATGACTGATATGTAAATCTTTTGTATACAGGGACTTGGTGGTAACGTTCCATTGTATTCTTTGTTTTCTCCCTCAAGACGCAGCTTAAATAGAGATATAAGGGATTCCTTCCCCAATTTGTTTTATTGTGTCTTCATCAAAATTTTAGCTTTATTAAACCAGATTACTTTTCCGTAAGCCAAACGTAATTCCCAAAAGCATTTGTTAAAAATTGGACGTTAATTAGGTTTGGAGCATTTCAGCACTGGTTGATGCAAAGTGAGATTTTTTCGTATTGTTGGTTCGCCTTTTTTTCGAGCAATGATATCTAGGAACCTCTTCAAAGATTTGAGGACGGTGACTGGCCGGTAAAAATTAACGTACGAAACCCCATAAAAAAATCGCCTGCAGCACAAAAAGGAAGAAATTTGACAGTTAAGAATGACCCGATATAAAGAACGATTGATATGTAAATCTTCCAGACAGGAACTTGGTGGTAATGTTCCATTGTATTATATCTATGTTTTCTCCCTCAAGACGCAGCTTCCTTCTCCAATTTGTTTCACTGCGTCTTCAAAACAATTTCAACTTCATTAAACCAGATTACTTTTCCGTAAGCCAAACGCAATTCCCTACCGCGTTTGTTAAAAATTGGACGTTAATTAGATTTAGAGAATTTCCGTACTGGTTGATGCAAAGTGAGATTTTTTCGTATTGTTGGTTCGCCTTTTTTCGAGCAATGATATGTAGGAACCTCTTCAAAGATTCGAGGACGGCGACTGGCCAGTAAAAACCTTGCTTAAAATACATACATACATCTAGCCGGATTTATGAAAACCGTACCATCGGACACCAGGAGCCCACACACCTTAAACTGACTCAACTAAAGTAAATATCGCCAAGAAACTCAGCTCTTACCCATGTTTCTCTTAAGGTGACTCTCTTCTTGGTTACTTATTAGCAAAAGAAACATTCAAGTCCATCAAGAAGACACTCTAGACTTGTCCATACACTCTAGCTGCTTAAAGGCCCTAAATGACGGAGGACGCTTGAGACTTAAGCAAGTTCTAAGCAGAAAATTTAAGGTTAAATCACCCCCCCTGACTTCCTTCACCCCCTCAGCTTAGCACGTGATTGAGGGGAATGCTTTCATTGGCCAATGGGCCTGAAACGTTACAAGAATTTGACGTGACAAACTAAAGGCAGACATGACCAGTGCACTGACTCTCCCAGACCAGGACTAACGGAAGGTACAACGCCTTTGCAGCACCCTCCCCCCCCTTCCCCTAGGGATTGACATGGAGGCCCCTTTCCAACCCATGGCGAGTTAGCTCAGGGACTGAACTTGATAATGAGACCAACCGGGACAGCAAGCCCCCTATGTTTTTTCTCACCGCCAGCTTTCTGTGCGAATATTCTGGCCCAATTTGAGGTATGTTTTCAAAAATTCGCCTAGACATACATTAACTTTATTGCATAGCATAGCTCCCCCTTAGAGGCTCTTCCGCCATACATACAAGAATTTTAAAAAAATGATAAAGTAAGATAAAACAAAATAAAATAAAATAAAATAAACTAGAAACTATTTACATTTCGATGATAAAATAACGAATTTCTATGAACAATAATGATAATAAGAATTAAAAGCATTATTTTAAAAAACTATTTACATTTCAATAATAAAAAAAGCTATCCATGAATTTAAAAGATTTTTAAAAATTCTGTTTTGAAAAACGTTAAGATTTCCCGTGTCTCTTATATCTTTAGCTATACCACTGTTCAGTTTTGCCCCACGGTAGGTGAAAGTCTTTTGGCCAGTGGCCAGCCTATACTGAGGTAACGTAAGGCGATTGTTCTGTCTAGTGACTCTTTGCTGAGTTTTTGCACGATATTGAAAGCGCCCGTGAAGGTAACCAGTTGTTAGGTTCTTTAAGCATTAATTTTGTATACCATCACCAGGTCGTTAAAAGCAGTTTATCCCTTACGTTAAGCCATTTAAGGGACTTCAGGGTTTCTGAAACATGATCGTACTTTCTTACACCAGCTACGATTCTGCAGGCATAGTTCTGAACATAGTTATTAGAGGAAACTGGTTATGAAAAGCGGCAAACATCAATGATAAAAACAACAGTGCTGCAGTTTATGTTGGAAGCACCCTGAAAGGGCACAATCCTTTGTTTTCTGTTGGCAAATTGTTACGGAATAAATTAATGCAACGTTTTTATTGGTCAATACAATCAAAATGATAGGAATTCTTTTGAACGTTGTGCACTTTCAGGTCCACAAAAACATATAACAAAGGACTCTGAAGGGTTTCATAACCATTCCACTCAATTAACTATGTTCTGAACTAGCTGAAGTTTTCTAACGTTCTTCTTGCTCGTACTACTCCATACCGTTGAACAACAAAATAGTTTGAATGCACAATCTTCACCTTCTTTGTCAAATGTGGGCGAACTCTCCTGGAGGTGTTTTACCTTATGCAACTTCAGAAAAAGGCAAAATAACATTTCTTCTTGGCTTGTTAACGTCGTCCATAAAACGTGAAATTGTAGGCACTTTTACCTTCTAGTTATATATGCAGTGACGGCAAAATAACTGTACATAAAAAAGTGATGTGCAGGCAAGGTTGTCGCTTTGCTAATTAAACCTATTGCTTTTCTGACCGCATTACTCGTTGACATCGCCGTGCTCGGATCTCAGGAAACTTATTGATATTTCCTTTGCTGACGTCACGTCTATTTTTACATAGGAGTCGGCGGCCGCGAAAAAATATCTACAATTGGTGGCTTTAAAATTACATGAAATTAACCAGAACTCTTGAGAGACAAGTGACTACAAGTGAAAGGAATAATCCTCAGTTCCAGCGTAAATTAGGAAAACTAATTAAAATCTTCTAAGGTACTTTATTAAGAGACATCAAAAATGAAAATGTTGATTAGAACACACATAATTTATATCCCCAATCCCAGAAGTATAAAGCTTTAATTGTACTTTCCCTGACTAAAGGGGAGCTGCATCTTTTACCTCCGGCATCGTGATTTGAAAGGTGTATTTATAACTCTTATTATAAGCCAGCTACGTTAAGTTAGAGAAATACTCCAACGTCGCTTTAATTAAGTGCTGCTCGAGCTACTTAACACCAGTTGTTAAGGCCACACCTTGACAAAAAATACGGATCGCTTTGTGAATAATTTTTAACGAACACTTCACCAGCTGACTTCACTATGCTTTCTTTCAGGCAGTAAATTTAGTGTAATTAACAAACTGAATATTCGTAAGTCAGCTTAATTCCACAAAAGGTGCTATAAGTAAGCTAAGTAAGTCTTTTGATCTGTTTCTCTGATCGAGTATTTAAACCTCCGCAAAACAATGTCTACTGCATGCAACCTTTCCGAAAAAAGGGCGGTTTCGGGGGTGATTTAGCAATAATCTTGCTTTTGCCTTAGCTTGTACTTGGTCGTTGTAAGCAGTATTACATAAAATGAATCACACTGCAAAGTCTGCCAGACACGCCTTTCAGACAACATTTTTCTTAAAGAAAGAGAGCTCTTATTTTGTCTACCTGTGTATTTTTTTTACCTTCAAGTGCAGTTACATTGCAGTTTAGCCAAGCTCCCCAAACAACAAACCCTAGCAACAGTGCTTGCAGAGAGAAAAAGCAACCTACAGCTGCCATACTGAAGGGCAAGGAAAGAATAACTCCCCACCAGACCGTTGCTTAGTACTAGAGATGAAAATACATTCGACCGACTTTAGTTGACGTCTTTATTCTTGAATAATAATTAGTGTTTAGTTATTTAAAAGTTCTTGTAAATCAGGTTCAAGTTTCAATTATTGTATGTTACAGATGACTGCAAAGCTCTTTTTTTTAGTTTCCCTTTTAATCTCATTTCACAGTTTCATAAGTCCTCTGACGCAGATTCATACGCTACAATTAATCATTGAAGCTAGGAGCTTCATCTGTACTCGGATCACTCTTGGGTACTAATTAAAAGAGACTCAGGATTTTTTTCTTTTCCTTATTTATTATTATTACTACTATTTCCTTTTCTTTTCAGTCACATGGTTTTCTCGTAGTATCTGCTCGTGTCTCTTGTTGAACGTTTGACGAGGAACTTTAGTTAACTTTGGTAGGAGTTCCGAGTCATTTCCATCCTCGCCAAACGTTTTACGTCTAGTCTCGTTTGCCTTTTTTTAACGCCAGATAAAAGCCATAACGTAGAAAATAATAATAAAAAAAAAAGATGAGAGAAATGTAATGTATTAACAATGAAAGACCCTTTTCAAAGAAACGATTAGCTATTAGGTAACGTAGAAAACGGAGTCTCGTTGTGGGTTGCTTTTTAAAAACTTGAAGTAAAAGTAATTAAGAAATTTTATGTTTTTAGAAAACTGAGAAACTAATATTCGGCCGCTTTTTCCTCAGAGTTTAAGTTAGATATTTTAATTACAAAACTAAGCAGTTTCTTTGGGTTTCTTTCCTAAATTCTAAACTTTTCTAAGCGTAAAATATGACGTATCATATTCGTGCAATTACTTTAAAATTCAATTTTCTTTAAACTTGGCACACAAAATTTTTAGAAACGATGCATTAGTTGGACTAAATTATCGTTTGTTTGCATTGCTTAATGATTGTTGGACGCTTCCTTTTTTTGATCCCTTGCATGGAATCACACACTGCCTTGAAAATGGTTTGAATATTTTTCTGATACAGCAGTTGTTAATCTGCATTAATTCATAAATTTTCATTCACAATTGCTCTTCAATCATAAGCGCAATTGTTTCCATGACTGAAGTTTTCGAGGCTGACACAAATTTCTAAATGTTAGATAAATAAATGTCTACCTGCTTTAAGGTAACTAAAAACTTTGAAATCCTTCAAACAAAGTGACTCCAAACGTCGTTGATTGCTTAAGATCCAGGGGATGGTTCTTTATCAGCAGAGGTGGAAAATGAGCTCCCTTAAACTGAGTTTCCATTAGAGAATTACCATCACGACTTGTCAACTGCTTCTCGTTGCAACACAATTTATGAAACTTGCATTTAAACTGGTAAAGCGAAGGTATCTAAGCAGGAAAATACCCTTTTGAGAGACTGAAGAGGCCCCATTAGGGGTTTTCGGGATACGGGATATTCGTGGAAAAAAATACCGGGATACGGGATATTTGAGGAAAAAGTTATTGGGATACAGGATATTGAGAAGTAGTTTCAGGGATACGGGATATTCGCAAAAAATTGTAACATGTCAGATGTTTGATGAGAAACGTTCTTGGATTACTAAATACATGCCCTTTTTTGTATTTTTGTTGATGATTAGATATAAATGAAAAATATATAAGTGTAAAACAAACCGTTTGACCAGTCATCGGTTCATAATGGGAACTATGTGGGGGTAACATGAAGTACTAAAAATAGCGCGCCAGCACTCGATCGAGGCAGCGCCACCTGATCGAGGCGAGACCTCTGTAATGGTGCAGGTCAAAGTCATTCATGACGTTACGGCGTGTATTTATAAAATCAACTGCGACAAACCAGTCTCCAAATGGTCCTTTCAGACAAAACCTGAAGAGCAACAAAAACCATCATGTAGAAGCTATAGTGCAAAGGGAAACAGGAGGCTTTACCCTTTAAGGGTCCTTAAGCAATGTGGTGCACCTCCAGCTTCACTGGCTAAGGTTTATACAACCATTGTTCGTCCTGTTCTGGAATATGCTGCCCCTGTCTGGCAAAATATACCAGATTTTCTATCTTATAAGATTGAGAGCATTCAGAAAAGGGCTATGCGCATCATTTTTCCTTTAATGAATTACAACGAGGCATTTTAATATACAAATCCCCTTAATTTAACAACTCTAAGTGACAGACGCGCCCATCCATGCCAGGTTTATATTGATAGACTCCGGAATGAGAATCACCCCTTGCATTTTATGCTCCCCAAACAGGAGGAGGTTGTGCATAATTATAATCTTAGATCTGGCATTAGCCACTTTACGCGTCCTACCTGTAGGACCAAGCGCACGCAAGCGTTTGTCCGCATAAGTATATACACCTAGTGGCTTGAACAATTATTTTTTCTAGTATTTATTGGATTTATTGTATTATATTTTAGTATTATATGTTTTGTAAATAGCTCTGTAATTCAGCCATTCTGTATATTGCTGCAATGAGTCTTAATAAACAGTCATTATTATTATTATTATTATTATTATTATTATTATATTATTATTATTATTATTATTATTATTATTATAAAAGGATAAACTTGTTGAACGTTTAAAAGTGTCATCCGGCCTTGTGGAGCGAACGAAGGAGCTCGGAATTTTTGACTTCAAAATAAAACTTCAGTACAAGCAAAATGTGCCCGAGGCCGAGTTTCCGAAGGGACGGATATTTGCAATTGATAGTCAGGATCAGTTCGAAGTTGCCAGACCTCTTCTCCAGGAAAAACATGAGCTGATCGGTAAGTCCTACTCGGTTTTATTGTTGTTGCTACCGACATGATTTTGCTGGTTTGAAAGTAAATTGTTGATAAAATGCTGTTTGACACAAGTTGTACCATTTGTGCCTCTGGACTGCACAGAACACATGAATTAACCAAATGCTCAGGACGGCAACTAACTAATAAAGGAACAAAATGAAAAAGGACTTTGGTATCAGGCGATATGTAGAAATTAAGGGCATCAGGTAGGCTAATTATATTAACTGGTATACAAAAGTGATTTTGGTGGCAACATTTGTTAACTTTCCACTTGATATCTACCATATTTTGAATGACAGCAGTTTAAACAACTGTCACAATAAGCCCCTTGAAAACCATACTTTTCCAGTTTACGTTTTAATGCCAGTGAACGAATATTAAAAATATATCGTAGAAAGTAACATATGAAAAATGGCCGATACTTTAATTTCCTAGATATTTGTGACCGGAATTTATGGGATACGGGATATTTGGTCAAAAAATTACAAGGGTACGGGATATTAAGACCCCCTCCTAATGAGGCCTCACTGAAGGCAAAGAGAAAATAAGTTTCAAGTTTCAAGTTTATTGTTTCGCCACAATAGAAAACATAAAGTATTATTAAAGTTTTAAAAAGCTAATGGCGTGGAATCCCAAGGGAGACCACGAGGTGACGTTAAGTCTTGAGAAACTTCATAGGTTCCAAGGCTTAATGTGATGAATGAGACTATCTGACGTTTGCGGCCAAGATTCACATTTTGCGTTTTGGTAGCAAAACGTAGTTTGGAGCAGATCATTAGCTCTAAGTAAAAACACCTTCTTAAGACTGATATAAGCTGCAGATAAAGGCTCCTAAAGGCTCCTGTCTGGCAGGGAAAAAAGTTGACTGACTCGACTGGCACTAAGGTGTAATTACCAAACTAACCATGCACCTTTACCATCCCAGCGCCATTTCTAACGAAACAAACGCAAAGAGGTGGTTAATCGCTTTTGATTGTTGTCTTTCAGGGGTCTTAGAGAGCTGATGTTTCAGTATTTCACGTTTGGTGTTGGGGAATATTACCGTGGAATTGTCAAATCTGCGCAAGTCAAACAACTGCAGAGATATGTACCCAGTCTAAAGGTCGAGGACGTCGAGAGGTGAGGAACACTTTGATGTGTTTCGATCAAAATGTCTTTAGGTCTATGAGGCACCTGACGATGAGACCAGATTTTTTGAAACGACGCTTAAACATAAGGCTTAAAAATAATATGTTCATAGACAACGCAGTAGTATCGAGTCATTTGGGAGCTTAAGCAACCACCACGACAGCGACAACGACAACGTCAATATTCAATTGCACGTGCATCACGCTTTTTATAGTAAATTTACGACTCCGACGTAAAATCTCCTGATGCGACGTTTTAAAGAGGACGTGAGCCTACAACCACGAGTTTTCCTTTCTCTTTTGAACCTGGATAAAGTTCTTAACAATTCAACTCCAACATCCAAGGAAAATCGCCTACATTTGACAAATTAAGCGCGTCCAAAATAACGCAATAAAGTTTGAAAGGACGCAAATTCATTTTTTAGCGACGTTTTCGCTGCCGTCATTGTCCTCATTGTCGATCGGTCTTAAGCTCGCTATTGGTCAAGCCCTAACTGAAAGCCATCTTCGTCACTTCATGTCCCGTTGTTTGTTTTGAAACTCGTCACCAGTTTCCGTGGTAATAGATAGGCCTTTTCTTAGCTTATTGCACAAACTTCACTTTCAAAGCGAGGCCTACAGCTGTAGTTCAAAAATATCTACTGTGACGATAGTATACTACACTATTAGTTGGCCCCACTATCATAACACGGCTGAGAGTAGTTAAAAAAAATGCTCATCCTAAAAGATCCCATAACAACATTGATACAGATATTTTTAACCAATCAGGGGTCCTGCAGGAGTTCGTGCCCAGGCCATGGACAGTGATGGCAATTTAGTTGATGACTTCGTATTTGATGGAGGTACCGGGGACATAGGGAGCCGAGTCCTGCACGCGAGAAATGCGCCTTCTCCAGGGGCTACCTCCTCATTGTCCATCGCTAAAATGGTTGCGGAGAAAGTGGAGGAACGATTTCACCTCTGAGAATCATTGGGAAACCGATTATAAACTCCTTTATAAAATTACATAAATTCATAGAAATTTTATCAATAGCATTATTTTGAGAGTGTGATAAGTAAATTCAATCTCTCGGCGAGGGTAACATACCTGATTGGTACTTAACTTCGCGTGTCTTTAATTTCGCATTTTTCGCGATTGTTAAAAAATCGCGAAATTAAAGACCCGCGAATGAAATAAACACGCGAAATTTAGTACCCATATAGAAAATTCAAATCACAGAAACAAAATTAATACACAGGAGATATATCGACAAATACACTTTTTTTTTTCTTTCCATTTTGTATCTTCTGTTGTGAAATAACGTTCGTTAATTTGCAAAGATACCCTGCTTACCTTAAAGTTAATTTGTGAAATATGTGTTTTGCTTACTCCAGTTTATCTAGAACTATACAAGTCAGAAAACTAAAATGAAGTTGAGAAACTTTAAGATCCTTGAATTGCGAAATTTAATGCCTTTTTTCACATTTGCATATTGAAATCGCGAAAATAAAAACCCCGCGAAATACTGTCTCACCAAAATGACGAAATTAGGTACCAACGAGGTATGTTATTTTTGCTTTATTTCTTTTCACAATTTCGTTAAAAGGCGACTGTAACTCAGTTCCTTTCAAAATTACTCACATTATCCGTCATCAACGTTACTCTTATAGATCGACATATACCTCTGTATTAGCCCAGTAATGTAATTATTACAGTTAAGCCTAGAACCCTCTTTAGATGTCCAAGATCTGTTCGCAATGTACTACTTTTGGGCANTGAGAAACTTTAAGATCCTTGAATTGCGAAATTTAATGCCTTTTTTCACATTTGCATATTGAAATCGCGAAAATAAAAACCCCGCGAAATACTGTCTCACCAAAATGACGAAATTAGGTACCAACGAGGTATGTTATTTTTGCTTTATTTCTTTTCACAATTTCGTTAAAAGGCGACTGTAACTCAGTTCCTTTCAAAATTACTCACATTATCCGTCATCAACGTTACTCTTATAGATCGACATATACCTCTGTATTAGCCCAGTAATGTAATTATTACAGTTAAGCCTAGAACCCTCTTTAGATGTCCAAGATCTGTTCGCAATGTACTACTTTTGGGCATTAGAACCTTTTAGACTATTTTAACAAGTAGTAAGATAAATTTAAGTAGGTAGGATAAAAAAGATGTTCTGGTTGACGAAGGTCTTCCGTTTTGAAATAATGCATCCTTTTAACAATATAAACTTTCCATTTCAAATTTAGACATCATAACTTATTGACCTAATAATATGTGGGATAGTAGTACTGCCTTAAATTATATTATTTGTCTTTTAATTACATCGAGAAATGAATAAACTTTTAGAAATGAAGGCCATTTTATGTCAGTTGTGTAGAAAGGAATACTTGTTGAAGATAGCAAATCTCCTTGAGAATACTTATAGAATTTCCGTTTGGTTTAAGTATCAAGAACCGCTGATGAAATCCAAGATAACTTGGCGACAATTTTAAAAGGCGATGGGGAGTAGGGTGCTCAAACATTTGTTCTGGGTGGTGAGAATGATTGGTTGGGGAATACAATGGCTTCGCAGTGTGCTATTTATAACATATACGCTTTCCCAAACTGCGCTTTTCAACAACACTGCAAAGTGGCGAGGTGGCTGCAATGTGCATGCTCCCGAAAACGGAAGTTTGTGAAGTTTTTTCGACTGGGTTGTAGTTTTGTCCCTGGAACACCCACTATTTCCTGCTGTCGCCGAACAGCACATAAAGAGACGTAAGTTACAATGATGCAACACGTGATTATCAAAGCTCAACCACCAGGAAGGGCTCTCTTCCCGTCGCACGTGGCTTGCGCTCTGTACCACCCTCGCGCTTGCCTCCGCCGCCTAAAAAACGCCTCAAAATAACGCTCTTTCTGCTGGCTATTCTTTGTGCTCAAACTTGCACCAGGCCAAAACGTCTAACACTACACTAGTCGGCGTAAATTTTCCTCTCTGTTTGATTTATTCAGAATGAGTTATTCGCAAATCTTTTTCTTCCGTACAAACTAAGAAAAATGCAAAAATTGCATTTATATTTATCCAATAGCCATTTCTTCAGTACTCGCAAAGAACTATCGCAAGAAAGCGGTGCTTGATGTATTTCGTTGGAATATCTGTAGACACACCATAGGATTTGATCCATTGACCAGAAACTTCGAATTCCCTTATAGTGCATAGTAAGTAGTAGCACGCGAAGAAGCACAGGCTATAACACAAGTTTAATTCGCTCGACAAGGCTACAACCCGAGGATGGTGCGACTTCCAATCTTCGAGCGACTACTCTGGGACAGAGTCACGTCACACATATCCTGTTCCAGGCGTTCAGTTAGTAGGGAGCTGACGAAAAATTGAGAAAGGAAAATAGGACAAAAAAAAAAAAAAAATAGTAAAAAGGGCTGTAAAAAAAACCAATTTATAAATATAAAAGTGAAAAATTAATCTTTCTCTCACTTTTTTCAATTAAACAATTTTAAGCTATTTATCCTTTTTTTATTACCCCTCTTTTTACAGTTACAATTTAACTAAGGAAACATTAAAATGAAGTTTTCCAACAAATTTTTGTGATAATTTCTAAACTTTTGTGTACGGCATGTCTACTTCTAGAAAGGAAAATAGGACAAAAAAAAAAAAAAACTAGTACAATGGGCTGTAAAAAGAACCAGTTTATAAATATAAAAGTGAAAATGTAATCTGTCTCTCACTTTCTGCAATGAAAAAATGTCAAGCTATTTATCCTTGTTTTATTACGCCTCTTTTTACAGTTACAATTTAACTAAGGAAGCATGAAAGTGACGTTTTCCAACAAATTTGTGTGATAATTTCTAAACTGTTGTGTACGGCATGTCTACTTCCCCGTCATTGGTACAGTTTTAAAACCTTCCAGAGACACGAAGCACAAAAATATCTAAAAAACCTTTCGGACGTATCTTCATCTCCGATCTCTTTGCGCTGTGACATGCTTTCTTCCAGCAGTACCAGGAAATTACTCTATCATCAATCTTCCAGGGGCGGTACAGACCATTCAGGTTGGAGTAGTGACAACCGTGGTACCACCAGGCGCCTTTAAATCTCAAGGCACAGTTGTCAGGCAACTGGTTAGCCTGCGTAGCATGGCGGTTTTGGTTGGGCGCGCTAAACGCTCGTTCTCGCGCACTTCGCGCGCGAATTTTGCGGTTTCGCCGCTCGTGCTCCCGGCTCGACAAAACTGCCATGCTACGCAGGCTAGCAACTGGTCATTATCACGATCCTTGGTGGTAAATGACATTCCACGATGATAAGTAAGCGAATCACCAGCGGTACCTGCAAAAAAGAAAGAAAGAGAGCCAACTAAAGGCTCTATTTTTCTTTATTGAGACCCGACATTATGACTCAACACGGTGACAGGGGATGAAACAGGACTGCGTCCCAACTGATGTCAACCCCTTCATTAGCCACCCAATCCATGAATGTTTGTACCACACCAACGGGGTTTACGCCCCCAACTCTTTACGAACAGCAGTGTGGGATATTTTACGTCCCACAAGAGTCAGAACAGTGAAAGAGCTGTGAGACGGGACCTGCGGTTCCTCCTTCCTTACCCGAGAAGACTAGAATGTCTAACCATTTTAATAATTTAGATGTTAAAACAAAGGCAGCATGCGCGCGCGTGGAGCTCCGCTATTAGTAATTGTCATAATTTGTAATGGTGTCGCAATTTGTAATTATTTTGTCGTGATTTGTAATACCTGTCGCAATTTGTAAGAACTTTGTCATAATTTGTAATAAAAAAGCTGTCGTAATTTGTAATAACTTTGTCGTGTGATATGTGATAATAAGTATTGTTTATACTTTTCAATCAAAAGGCTTGTTTTTCGAGTGGTTTTTGATCGTCAAGGGGACCATACAAGGTTGATCTGAAAGGAAACAATGATTTCAGCTCTTTTTTTAGGAACAACCTGTTATCTTTTGGAAATAAACATTTTGCATGAAAAACGAGTAAGGCTAATCTGAGCGAGTGATCTCAAACTCTTGTAAAGAGTTTCAAGAGTTTACAAATTTGATCAGTCATTCGTACCATCTTTCAAGGTCTAGTATGCCTTGCTGTGGTAGAAAACAGGTGATAAACAAATTTTATACGCCAAAGTTAATGATAGCTATCGCCATAATGTCATGACTTGCGTTACATGTTGTAATTTACCTCCCGGTGTTAAAAGTTTTCTAATGGAATAAATTTTTTAACTTTGAACAATCGGACATTTGATATGATTTAGAAAGAATGCATGTTTTTGTGATCATAAAGCTTCAAGAAGCTTTAAACTAACTTTTTTCAAGATTCACTATTGCATCTCTGGTCATGGAACACGGAATGCCGATTAACCGATTGAATAATAAGGGACATAAGCGTTCGTGCAGTCATGACTGCGCATTTCCCTTTGAGCTTTGCTATTGCTGGTTTTCAGTGTCACGCCATTCAAAATAGATCAAGATAAAAATCAAAACCGTGCAATAGATAAAGTTCAGAAGCTGGGAAATGAAAGGAGGTACATATACAAAGACCCTCGCCAAGATTCAGGTCGTATACGAGATATCCGAAGAAATATTTTACCCAAACTTATAGAGATTTGTATGGAGACGGCATGCTGGTGTTTACGACAGTCATCTGGGTGAAAAACTGTCGCTCCAAAAAAGGCCTTAAACAGTGCCTAGGAGGTGTGAAATACAGTCAGAATAAAAAGAAAAACAAGAAGACGCTAAAGGTAAGCTTCAAAGCGATATTCAATGTACATTTTGCTAATTTAGTGAGCAAAGAATATTTCTCCATACAACGTCTTATAATTTTGTCGCTGTATGAATAATTAATTAGCTAAGTAGGATAATGTTGTTCAGGGCTCTCATAGTGAGCTTGGGCTACCTGTGACTCTACCACAAAACCAAGAACCCTTTTGAAGCGAAAATTTGTATGAAAATTAGTGTTCAGCTGCTCTAATGCATCGTGAAAGTAAAATAACGGTAGGATCTATAGTTTTTTAGTTTGAATTTTAGTGAAGTCATGTGAAAACCAATAATATGCGAATACAGTCGAGTCTCCTCGATCCCGTCACCGTTCGTGGGCTACTTGTATCTAAGCAATCTTGAATAAATAAAGTTGGATTCTATGGGAACCTTGTTTACTGTGTTGTTCAATTCAATTCCACGCTCGCTATGATCGGCCGTGATTCCTTCTCTTGGTATTAAAGCAGCTCTCAAAATCAATCCCGCCTTTAAAGTAAACGCACATGTTCGCCCCAACTTCCTAGCCATTGGTTACTGCTGGTCTTTGCTCTAACATGAGTCGCAATAAACTATTTGTTGAGAATCTAGATTTCCAAGAACGTTTTATATCCACTAGAGAATTTCAAATTTTCAAAATCGCCAGTAGCCGAAATCGTGACAATTGTAAAAAAAAAAAAAAATATTTGGAAATTAAACTTTGAACTCATTCAGTTGTATAACGGGGGTGTGCTAAATTGAAAGAAGAGGATTCTGGGGAAGAGTGAGATGCCATCGTTAACGTGAATTAGGGAAGAGGTAGGAAGGTAGGTAATGATCGTTAATAGTGCAGTTCTTATTACTCGAGGTTGCCTAGCACCGAGTCATAATATGCAAGCCGTTTTTCTTCTTCGTATTTAGGACACAAAAGGGAGGTTGGGCTCCCAGGCGTTCCTAGCGGGGACCGTGGAAACTGGGAATAAGAAGCGTGACGACTTTCATTGTATGCAAATGAGACTCGTAATGAGCATGTTGTTCATTTTCGGCGATGATTGAGGTGATGCGCGTAGTTGATCACGTTCGGGCTTTTTGGTAATAATGTAATTTTCCCCGAATCAAGGCCCTTGATTTTCTTGTATTCATACACGCGTAGTACGACGTGAAAATATTATAGCGAAGGAAATCCTTTTTCGTAGTGTATTGAGGCATTACGTTTCTCAGAATATTGACGCAATTATTGGAACTCTACGGTTAAATAGTTTCGATTTTGTAGATTCAATTTGTTGTATGTATTGTTCTTTTTTACGCTGTGACTATATGGCCAGTAACCTGTCAAGGTTTTCAAGAGCTAACTGACCGGCAGTCTTGTCTTTTCACAAATCGAAAAAACCAGCTTATCTAAACTATCATATGTTGATTGAGAAACGTGAAGTGATTCTGCAACGCTTTATGGATCTCAAGTTTAGCCTTTCGTTTACGCTGGGCTCAGAAAACGAAACCATGTTCTGTGACACTTAGAACTTTTTTCAGGTCGACGACCGGTCAAGATTTTTAAAACACTAAATGACCGGCTGTCCTTCTCAATAAATTTGTCAAATCGAAAAAATCCATTTATTCTAAACTATCATATGTCGATTAAGAAAAGCCAAGCGACCCTGAGACCGGCAGTTGACCCTGCTAACATATTCGCTTCGATCTTTCGTTCCTAGATAAGTCGGGAAAGAGGAAAGAGGAAAAGGAACGCGGAAAGAGGAAAAAAGTTCTAAGTGTCACAAAACATGGTTTCGTTTTCTGAGCCTGGCGTAGACCAAACACCAAATTTGAGATCCATAAAGCGTTTCAGGATCGCTTGACTTTTCTTAATCGACATATGATAGTTTAGATTAAATGGATTTTTTCGATTTGACAAATTTACTGAGAATATAGGACTGCCCACGGTCATTAAGTGTTTTGAAAATCTTGACCGGTCGTCAACCTGAAAAAAGTTCTAAGTGGTACAAAACATGGTTTCGTTTTCTGAGCCCGGCGTAAACCAAACGCTAGACTTGAGATCTATAAAGCATTTCAGGATGGCTTGACCTGTCTTAATCGACCTATGATAGTTTGGATTGGCTGGAATTCTTAGATAAGTCAAATTCCATCATTGAAAATACCGTACTGCCGGTCATTTAGTGTTTTGAAAACCTTGACCGGTTTCCGGGCCATACAGCCACAGCGTATTTTTTACCGTGATCCTTAATATGAGTTAAAAATTCGCTCGAGTTCGCCTTTCCACCCGCGACTAACTTTTTATAATGGCAGAAAATTTTGCTGCTTTACAACTCCTCCGAAGTTTTTGTGCCAGCTAAACGATATCGAAACACTATTCACAGTCCTTGGATATTAACAAGACGACGAGACGCACTACATATAGGGGTAACACTAATCTGCAGAACTGCAGACCGCGCAACCGCGGAACCTGCGGAACCGGCGGAACCTACGGAACCTACGTAACCTACGGAACCTAAGGAACCTAAAGAAATGACTGTTTTGTTACAACTCCCTTTGGCTAACATGATAAAATAATTAGTTACAATCAATTTTTTACAATGACTTGGAGATTTCTCGCCCGCTGATTGGTCGAGAGCTATTGTCGATGACTGTACTGACCACTGAAAACTGTTGTCGCTTTGTTTAGTAACACTATGCGAGAGCTCTGGTTGCGAAACAGAAAGTCCTCGAGTCGCGGAATTCCGGCTTGTTAGTAGTTGTCGAAAAGAAAACGAGTGGTATAGAATTAAACACAGTAGGACGAGAGAACGATAAGGGTATGATTGGCACCTGCAGTCACTTCTGGTCTCTACATCATGTTACATCCACTATATACACAGAATCTTTGCGACCTTCACAAATTCTTTCTCACTATAAACGTATTATTCCATCACGGCTCCTCCTTAAATACCCTTCATCCCACTATTCAATTTATATCAAACTGCTCATTCAAATCTTTCTCCTTTCTCTACGTCAAGGTGTCCCTCAATGATAGTATTGATCATTGAAATTGCTCTTTATACTAAACCTACAGCCGAACATCAGTACCTTTTAGGCTCATCATGTCACCCGGCCCCTTACACACTAAATGAGCTTTTCCATTCAGCCTCGCCCTGAGAATACAACGTATATGTTCCTCAAATGAGACGTTCAAACTGCGTTGTAACGAACACAAGCATAAAACCGTAACAGACGTGGATACAATCTGGGTCTCCTCAAACAGGAGATACAACGTAAATTACAACAAAAAAAGTAGCAAAATTACAATTACAAAAGTTATTGAAAATTACAATTTAAAATAATCTTTACCCTCATACATGAAAAATCAGTAACTCTTTTATTCATTTATTTTTTAACATAACAAAGGAAGGTAACTGACGAAAACTATATTTGCTAATTGATTAATTATTGCACATCTATACGCACACGTATCCACAATGGCTTAAAAAAAAAAACGAACAAACAAGCAAACAGACAGAAAACTTAAACAGGACAGTTAAAGTATTAAATCTTTTAATCTACAGAGCCGCGCCTACAGTTCACTTCCACAGAATAGTACATTCGTTTTTAAGAGAGGAGGTTTTTTATCGAGACGGCATTTCTTTTTAAAATTGTCTAAAGATTTATGGTCTTTTGCAATTTGCCTTTCTATTTCCACAGTGAGTTGAACTATTTGTATGTACATTTGGACATTTGGGCGCGTATCTCTTTTTGTTTACAGATGTCAGGATATAATGCCTGATAATAAGCAGTAGATGGTGCAGTAATAAATCTTTTGCGCGTTAATTAAGCCAAATAAGAGAGCTTCTGAAAGGTTGAATTTTTCTACTTTGGAGGTGTTTTGCATTATCCATTGAAAGCAGTCTTTCCAAAAGGCGCTAGAATATTTACAGCTCCAAAATAAGTGTTCTAGGTTTTCCGTTGCTTCTCCACAGAAGGTGCAGGAGTCAGACTGTTTAATTCCTATGAGAAAATAATGTACATATATACAAATCTTGCGAAATAGCACGTGTTTTAGAGGCTCGCAATAAAAGTTCGTGTTGCATGAACTACCAGACTCGAGTATACTTCAGATTCATTCATATTAATACTGTTTTTGCCTCTCACATTTACTATGGTGTCGGTTCGTATTTAAAACACCTTTAGGAAAATATGGGTCGTGTAATTCATGTGTATTATATTTCGAGATAAATTGATTAAAGGCTTTTTTAAGTTCCCATTTTTCAGTAGCTTCAGTTTACATCTCCATAAAATGGAAGAAAAAACACCAAGAGACATCACGCGAGCTGAGAAATTTCAAAGGGTTTTTGAAACTCACTAATGTTGACATCAATATCGCGCTTGCTGAATGGGCGAAAACACAGAATTGAGGAAAAGCATAACAAATGATCACAAGATCATGTACAAGTTTAATGATAAAAGCTTAGCCGGCAAGATATATACAGATACGAACCAAAAGCAAAACCTCTAAAACCTCTGGGCTACACTTGTATGCTCTACTCAGTGACCAAACCTTGTCAGTGATAGATCCTATTTTCCTCAAGTTGGTCTTTTTGAAGCCTCCGGATCGGATGTCCCGGTGAAGCTTTAAGTTTTGGAACCTGTGTGTGAAATTCTCAATGTTCCTATTTTAGTCTGTGTCTTCTTTATCCTCAGTATCCGAAATTTGGACCTCCAAAGTGACGCGTGTTGCATTAAATAGAGGGAAAAATTAAAATAAAAAGCCAGTCTTCTAACATGGCAAAGTCGTCACGTCCCTCGCTCATGGACATCCATTTAATGTATCTAACATCTGGTAACTGAGTTGTTCGCTTCGTACCGACAGCTTACAGTCAAGTCTTCAGCCATAGTGTCATCAATTGGTAAAGAAATTTGCTCATAAATTCTGCTTATTCATTGCTCATACGTACTACATCGATCGTTAATTCTCTCTATGAGGTTCACGAAACGGCCCCGGCGTTCCAAAACTGACCGGCTCACAGTCATCTCAAGGAGTGTGAACCTACCGTGAACGGCATCTGGGTTTGTACGCAACATGAGCATATCTCTGAGTTTCCTAGCGTCAACATCATTAATCGACTTAAACTCGAACAATTACAAAACTTATAAAGTGACTCCCGTAATCGAATCGTCGAGCCGTCACTTCAAACAACGCAAATAGCATTCGCAACGCCTTCTGGGTTTCTGGGGGGGGGGGGGGGGGGGGGGGGGGGGGGGGGGGGGACAAAAAATATTTTTGCAAGGGGCGGGGCAAGGGGAAAATGTTTGAAACCCCTTGTGGGCCCCTCGTTTTCCGGGGCTTACATAGACCCGCGGGTTTTCCTTCCCCGGGGGTGCCCGAGAAGGGCGGCCCGAGAAAAAATTTTAAGGGACTGGAAGATACAAAGGGACTAACGTCCCCTCTTTTTTTTCGAATCATGAAAGTGTAACATGCTAATTTAGGCGTGTTCTGTCGTGGCATGTTGTTGAGGAAGATTAAACAGAACACACTAAATAAAACTTCATAGCCCAACAATAAAAACAAAAAACATCAAGCCACCCAATACACGAAACACCCGCCCCGAAACACACAAAAACAACAGGGACTTGGAGCGTGGTGGGGGGTTGGGGGGGGGGGGGGGAGGGAAGGGGCGGAGGCGAGGTACCAAAAATATTCGTGCAAGGGTCAGTGCAAGGGAAAACTGTATGAAACCACTTGTGAGCCCATCGTTTCTCGGTACTTAACTAGACCGTCGTGTCTTCCTTCCCCGGGCGTGCCCTGAAAGGGCAGCTCAGCAATAAATATTTTCAACCTATTATATTTTGAAAATGATACCAAAATGATTACAGACTTTCTAGGAATTTACTTGTCAGACTTAACTGTCCATTAATCGGGTGACGTTTGCGCTAAACCTTGTCATCTGTTCAAGCTTCTTGTCCATTTGTTCAAGCTTGTTTACTCTGATTGGCCGGTCAGATTATTTTGACAGCTTTGAGAGCCGGAAGGAAAGGCGATAGTGAAAAATCTGTGGGGATCTGTTTAATCTTCCTCAACAACATGCCACGACAGAACACGCCTAAATTAGCATGTTACACTTTCATGATTCGAAAAAAAAGAGGGGACGTTAGTCCCTTTGTATCTTCCAGTCCCTTAAAGCCCGGTTTTCATAAGTCGGTCTGGAAAATCCCAGGCGATCGAGGATTTTACTGTTTCCCGACTGTCCCAGATTTGCCGACTAATGAAAACTCGAAATCGTAGATATCCCCGATCGTCTGGGATGGACGGGGACAAATCCTGAGAATCGGGAGAGTTTCTATTTTCCCGACGCGTTCCAGATTTCTGAGATGGTCGGCGATCATTTGTACCGTCGGGGACGTCGGCGATTGTCGGCGATGGATTTCGCTCATTACCAATCCCCTGAATTGCTGGGCTCTAGTCCCCCTATCATCATCATCATCGGTCGGCTGCAGAACAGGCGACTACGAGCTTCCTCCAGCCACAACGATCCTGTGGGTTAAGTCTGTCGAACGGGCCCGGTTAGTACAACAGACACAGAGGGTTTTCCACAACTTACATAGACTCTTTGTCCCAAGCAACGGAAGGACCAAAAGAGATCCCATGTGGTGGAATATACAGTGCGTACCCCTATCAACTAGTTTCAATTTTTGGCGCACTAGTTTCCGGCCAAATTCATGGGCAAAAAGTAAAATCTGCGATCGTCTGGGATTTTCCCGACATATGATAACCAGGCTTAGTTATTGAGGCTTCCTGTTTATATCTGCTCCAAAGAATCTGAACTGGTTCCCGAAAAGTTCACTGTCGGTGTTTCAACCAAATCGTTCCCGATCAGGTAAGATTTATAGATGTAAATGTCTTGCCCGGGTGTCTTGCAAATGATGATGTACACTGGTCCTGAAGTAAGCGGGTTTTATGAAAGTCTTCCCAAACGTCTTGGGCCTCTGTGGACGCCATCTTCATCATTCTCTTCAGCCAAACGCAACTTTCCCCAAAACGTTAGTAATTGCCTCCTTTGGTGTTGTAAGATACAAATCTATCTTTTTGTCGAGGGTACCATGTCGAGGGTAATTTTTTTCAAATTTTTTTTATAAAAAAAATGTAGTGGTGTAGTTGTTGTTTAATTGAAATAGTACGTGAACATTCGAATTCGCTTAAAAGCAAAGAACCTTCTCCCTTCCTGTGAAGCCTTATAGACCGGTTGTGCCTAAAAAAAAAATATCATAGAACTTAGGCAGGGGCACCCGTGAATTGGATTTCCGAGGTCGGAAATACCCCAGAATAATTTTGAACGGTTTTTTAAACCATACCCAACGACTGTTTTCTGTAAAATATCTGTTCGGAGAAGCAAATATTTGCCTACAATTTTCTATTACTTGAGGAAGGCTAAAAAAATTTTAGATGGCCGCTCCATTCATGTACAGTTTTCGTAGGTTATCTAATAAATTCCCTACGATTTTCTAAAGTTTAGTTTTCGCATTTCAGTCCCCAAGTAGAAAATGGAAACCTAAAATTTTCGGATTCGAAAATGCCATGGAGGAAGGAATCAGAAAAATTCTCACTTTCGTAAAACCTAAAATTGCATCTAAAATTTTCGGGAAAATAATACTGAGGCCCTAAGTAATTTCGAAAAGATTCAAGTTGCCCTAGGACGACCGAACAGATACAAGATTTATAGCGCCCCTTAGAATGCATTTCTAGAGATTTGAAAGTACTCTGGATCAGCGAAAAAGTGTAATTGAAGCTAATGCAAGAGCTTTCGCTGTTGAAGCACAAGCAAGAGCTGGAGCTGGATTAAAAGATTTAGGTGCCCGTGCAGGTTAGAAGTCTCATATCCACTTCCACAGTTTTTCACTCCACCTTGGTTGTGAGACAATTCACACAGCTAAAATGGCAGCCGATGTGTGGAAAACAACACGCTATATCCTTGCTTGTTTCAGTTTTCAAGCAAAATAACCTCATCATAGAAAGACTTAATGTTGAGCACTATCGCTAAAAGTCATACTGTAGCTGTTTAAGTGGACGGACAACAATCGCAAAGTATAAATGTTTTAACTATACCATGAATTTGAAATATCTCACTGATTGCAAACTGAGTGTAAATGCACGCGGTATCGCTGACAACATCGAAACTGATTTCGCCCTTTCCCGAAATCAATCAAATCGCAGTGTTTTCAGAATTTCGTCAGCTTGTGCACTGAGAAAAAATTATACGGAATTCGTTCGTTTGAATTCCTTGGACACAACTTGATTCCACGAGAACCGCAAATAAATCATTTTGGGATTTTTACCATTGGAAACCATTATTATTTATTTATTTATTTATTCATCGATTCATCGGTTAATTGATTTACTTTTTGAAACGAATAACGAATATGTCCACGATATCAACCTTGGATAGTTCGTGGGTGCAAATCAAGGTCTTTAAAGTTCTTACCCAATCTATGAAAAAGCGACAGGTCCCTTAGCTCAATTGCAGCGTGATCACACTTCCCGACAAAACGCGCCACTTTTGCTTCAACTCACACATAAAACTGGTCCACAAGTCGCCGACCGTCATGCTTCCCTGAAGCTCGGATAAACTGTTCTTTGGAGATTCTGCTACGTAACGACGTGATGTACTGACTAAGATGGGATTAACTGAAGCATGATTTTATAGATGCTAGCAGTATTACAAATGAAACATCTTTAGCTGGGAAGAATGAATGTAAGACTACACAAAAATTGCCTACTTTCACGATGTCATCATGTCAAGATGGCGCCAAAAAGGTAGTCAACTGGTACCTTTTGGTATCACACGTTTCAATCCTCCCCAAACACTTACAGATTAGCATACGTTCTCCAAAAGCCTAACGCAATAATTTTATCCGGTCTGTCCCAACCAATGCGGCGGCAGAAACCGTGGAAGGGTGTATTTTTCTTGCGATTAGTACTCACAAGTTACGTTTCCATTTGTGTCTTAGAAGCTTCAGCAGTTCTTGCTAAAGTAGAGGCTGGAATAACCCATGTTCCATTTGCTCAAGTTAGTGCTTCGGGCCCAGGAGCAAATGCAGAGACTGGTGTTTCCTGGAAATACACCGGCGCAAGCGCAGGGGCATATGCTGGAGAAGCAAGGGCAGGCCCATTTGCTGCTAGAGCTGGAGTTAAATTTTGGGTCGAAATTAGAAATGGTGTTCCTGAAGTTGATTTAGGACCAGTTTCCTGTTCGGTAATGTAATGTTAAGACCAGTCTGTATGTTCAAGAGTGCACTTGACAATTTGTTCATGTTTTAGCGCGTGCGTATATCAAGTTATGAGCACGCGGAAAGTTTGAAGAGCACGGAAGAAGTGTAAGAGTTGCTCGACTAACTATAGCTGCTTGACGGTGCTCTCCAAACTTTCCGCGTGCACTATAACTCTATATACGCACAGCTAGATGCATGAGCTGATTGTAACATGACAGTGACTGCCAATGCATTTTATGTTATAAATTAAAGTGTTTTTCAAGCGTTTTTATATTACTCCTGTACTCATCGGTATTTCGGAAAATGGTGCGTATGCAGAAATGCCTGACAAATGACGGTAACCGTGAACTCAATAGCAGGCAGGTGAGCAGGTACACACTAGCTAGGTTCAATTCTTGTTACATGAGGTTCCAAATATATATTATGCAGTCAGAGTGAGTTTCTCGTAAACAAGAGCATAGTTAAACTTGTTTGACAGAGTTTTCTTTTTTTTTTTTCTTGTGTGATTGGTGTGATACATGTAAATGGTTATGGAAAAAATAAGAATAAAAAACATAAGAAAAAGAAATACGATCGCGGTGTATTCGATCGCGAACCATTGCGGTTCCGCGATTACAATCCAAACTCTATTTGTGAACGTTCATGTCCATGCAATGACCACATACTATTTGCGGTTACTTTAACCTCCGCACAGCGAACACCTCTCAGCGGCCGATCAACTCTGTCCCCTGTATGTAGGAAATGCGTTATATAAATATCATTACCATTGCCATTACCATTCCAACAAGTAAATTCGTATCTCGCAGAGCGCATTAGTGCGAGGCCATTAACTTAATTGAAGTTTTAAGCATTTAACTGGGATTAATGAGCCTTGCAATGAACGATTGAGTCATTGTCAGATCGTTACTGTAGTCAAGTATTGTGTAACATCCTGTATGTCAATTCTACTTTTATTACCAAATAGCATGATAAAGTTTTCTGTGATTTCCCATCCCGGATAAATCGTTACTTGAAAGTACCTCGCTTCTCCCAAATATGTGTAATTCTACACTTGCGAGCCTGTGTATACTAAATCCTAGTCAATGAGCGTTTCCTCTTCAAGCCAGGTTGTTCTTTACCCAATTTTCTTTTCCTTCCTCCCTTTCACTTTGTCTTTTTCACCTTTACATATCATGGTTACACTGTTATCACAATTTATAACCATAAGGACCGCTTGGTTTCAGGGTGTTTACTTTTCAATTCCTGTTTTTAGGTCCTGCACTTCCACATAATAACAATTTAGTATTACGGTGTCTTGTGCGACGTCATACTGCTCTCTCGTTAGTTCTTTTCAAGAGCTTCTATTGTTTTCCCAAACAATAGATCCCATTGTTCTCTTGCCCATATATAGTGTTCTTATCGCGCCTCCTCATAGTAGTCACGTGATTATGCGCAGAAGAGCTCTGGGGTCTAGATTGTCCCTGACGAATGTCTCAAATGGCCGCTTTTCTTGAGTATGAAGCTGACAGTAACACTCATTTATTAATTCAATATATTTGTTTAATCTCTTTTGTGATGGTTACAATACTATGACTAGGATAAAAAAATACATTTGAACAAATACATTTGAACACATTACAATAACGAAAGAGGATGGTGCAGGACACACAACAGAGCGAGGCTACAAATTAAGTGTGCTCTCGAGAAAAATACACAAATACTATGTTACATTATTTCCATTTTCGCGATTAAATTTGCTGACTTGAATTTCGTTACGCAATAGACCACTTTACATTTGTGTGCTTAGTACCCTAGCCTTTGAATGAACGTGAGGTTGAAGATGACTCTGTTTTATTATAAACCTTTGTTTTATCATGGGTTTCGTTTATCGCTTCTCTCAATTATCACTTGGAAATTGATCCCGACGTTTCGACCGCGTAATGTACATCTTCAAAAATTTGATTTACTGCTGCTCGTTTTGTTACTCCACTGGTTACCAGTCCCGTATCGAATTGTTTTTAAGCTTCTTCTTGTTGTGTATAAAGTTATTAATAGTCTCTGCTCTCAACATCTGGCGGATCTATTGCACCAACAGAAATCGTCAAGGAACCTACGTTCAAACTCGCGTGACTCACTTGTGCAGCCAAAGTCAAGAACTAAGACCTGTGGAGACAGCGGGCCGTTTGCCGTGTGCGCCCCAAGGATTTGGAACTCTCTTCCTTTAAATATACGTCATTCCAGCTCTGTTTCATCGATTCAGAAGAATCTTAAAACCTTTCTTTTTAAACACTTTGTTAAGAGTTATTCTTTAGTTTATTAGCTTCACTTTTAAGTCATTACTTTTTCATTCTAGTTATTGCTTGTTATGAGGACAAAGTAACAATGATCACTTCTACCCATGATCATGAATTGCCATTATTGTCTTTAAACTAAAACTTTCTTCATTTACTGTTGAACAGAATTTGCATTTTTTTTTCGTTTTTGTGTCCCCTGAGAAACCAGGTGACATTGCTTTCATACCATCAGTCCTTAAGCTCGTGCAGAGATGGTGGAGATCGTGAATAAGGTCTATTGCTTCCCGGCTTTCGAAAGTTGCAGACAATGAATGAATGAATGAATGAATGAACAACTTTATTAACGCGTCAATCTTCTAGATCGCTACGCGCAGCCTACTAACCAGGGACACCAAGAGACAAGTTCTAAAACAAAAGATAATTCCTGGATAATTCGCATTTATCCTGCATAAAGTTATATTTCTGAGCTGTTTCAAAGGTCGGACACTAACTGTAATCTACGTAATTCTGACTTTATGATTCCAAGATTTAACACAATAACTTTTGGTAAACATTCTATAAAATATCTTCGTCCTTATCTATGGCGTAAATTACCAATAGCCTTAAGAATGTTAACTGAAATTGATAAATTTAAAAGGAAAATTAGGAAAAGTGATTTAGCCGGTCACTTGACGGAAGAAAAATGCGGGTCGGAATGTACCTTATGTAGCTCTTAAATCTTTCTTGCTTTGTATATATGATTTTTTTTTATTAACTGTAAATATTTATTTTATTGCTGTACATATATACTAAGGTATCTTTTTATTTCATAGTGTTCCCAATTAGCTCATAGCTAAAGTACGTGACACTTAAAAATAGTTTGTTGTTATTATTATTTTTTATGCCTCCTTGCCCGCTTGTCTTTTATACCCTTATAATAAAGAGAACCTTTGGCTAAATTCTGGGGTCATCAGTCGAGCTATGTTTGCAAGAACGCTTAAAGAAATAAGGAACAACAATGTGTTTGGGTATAATTTTGGCCACGCAAGATGGCAGATTTATTGATTAAATATAACATCTTCAAACAAATTTAATTAGCTATGATTATTTGATTTTTTACGGTCTGGCAAAGGTGAAGGCGGAGAAAAAAGGCACCCAGAGTAAATAAACTACTATTAAAAAAGAGGCGGAGGAAGGGAGGAGGAGGGTCAAATTCGCAAAGCTTGTTACGCCAGGAGACCAAGAGGAAGACTTCGGGGAACACAGCTTGTCTTATACCTTAAATGAAGTCGAGGCTAAGTACTTTTCCGAACGAGCTCGTGACTAGTAGTTTTACAGCAAGTAATATTCCGGCAAGTAATTTACCAGCTAGTGATTTCCCGGCTAGTAATTTTCCGATTGATCTCGTGATAATCGTGTGATCAATACTTGACTATTTTGTGTCAAATTGGACCCTGCTCACAGCTCTTCCCTGCCGATTACCTATGTTAAAGGTGAATGCGTGACTAGGAATAAGTGCCCCTCTTAGCAAACTAACATAAATTATTGCGTGACTAGGTGACATAAACATTTTTATTTGCAGGCAAATAAATTCCTTTTATGTGCTAAAGTATTCTCTGGGTTTATTAACTTGGCAGATAGCTAACGAAAATAACAAATCGAAAAACAGGGGGTCCAAAACGGATCCCTGTGGCACACCAGATGAGATAATCAATCAACTTGAACAATTTCAATCAATAAAAACCCTTTTTTTTCGATTTGATAACAGGGCACCAGCGACCCTCGCTCAGATTCCAAAGTTTCGAACAGGTGTGCTAATTCGAGAAAACAGGAGCTACAACAAATAGGATCTCATCTGTAAATCTTAACCATATGTTCCTGGCAACTTCTCTTGGGTCTATACATGAAGGGGTTGAATTTTGTCCCGGGGGCCACAGGAAAGTCCTGCAAAGAAGCTTCCATTGGCTGGGTTAAAATGAAATCCGGCTGTTTCATTTCAAACAGTTCAGATAAATACAACTTTTCAAGTGATTAATGTTTTTATTGAAGCGCCTCTGTTAGAGTGTGGTTAATCAGAAACAAACAATGTTACTCAGAATCATTGAAACTGGCGTTTTTCAACTTTTCGACTTTAACTTCATGCAAAACATTTATTGTTAGAATGTTAAGACCTAAAGAAACAAACGTTTCACTTAACTTAAAGTGCCAGAAACATCTCAAAAATCGTTTGGACGTATCTTCATCTCAGTTTTCTTGACAGAGTAGCAGCTACCCTTCGGCCAATAGAGCCAGCGCATTCCTTGACAATCGTCCTTACCATTGAGGTACAGACCATTCAGATTGGACCGGTGACAACTGTTGTGCCACCAGGCGCCTGTATAAATCAAGGCACAGTTTCCAACGCTGTACTTGTCATTATCGCGATCCTTGGTGGAAAATGACATACCACGATGATAACCAAGGGCATCAGTAGCGTTTCCTACAAAAAGGGGAAAGAAGAGAAATATGTGTTATATTTTTCGGGTTCTTTTCGCAGAGTTTTTGAACCGGTCAATTTTCACTCCTGCATAAACAGTCTCAGTCCACTTTAATTAATGCAGACGGGACGAAACAATTCTAGGATTTAAAAAAAAAAAAATTGGAAAGGCCCCCGAGAGGTTTTAAAAGGAACATTAAAGGTAACATTTAGTAAAGCTTCGAAACCGGTAGAGATCTTGTACTTGCTAAATAATCAATGACATACCCTTAATTTCTGAACTCTCAAGACGTGGGTTAATCCTTTTAAAATTTTTTTATATGATCTAATATGACATTACAAATAAGGTAAATTGTTGTTACAAAAATCGACTGATAACTTCCACATTCCAATCGCGATCAATTGCAAGAAAAAAAAACTTATTTTCTTTCTTTCTTTTTTCTTTTGTCATTGTATTTGGCAATTAGCAACATTTTTCGCCAACTGATTCTTTTTCAGTCTTTCATAAACTTACCTGAATAACTTCCCAAGTTCAGTTGGTATTTCGCTGTCTCGTTTGTCACGGAGAAGGAGCTGTACTCGGCAAATGCGGTTTTTCCATGAATGTCTTCCAAGTCAACACGGAGTTTATAACCACCGCTTACAGTCAGCCGATGTATCTTGTCCAAACCGAGCCAGAACTCACCGTTCAGATTGCCAAAACCGCGTTTGTAATCATCCCAAGCGCGGAAGAAATCAACAGAGCCATCTCGCCTCTTCTGAAACACTGTCCAACCTCCACCAGTAGTTTTCTGATCACAGAACACTTCAAATTCGCCCAGACCACCAGGAAAAATTTTATTCATTCCACTGATCTTGGCACCGGACTTGTAGACTTCAGCACAGTTCTTGAAAACTGAAAACAAAATGATCATTCGATGCGGTAATAATTAGTTTTTGGCTAATGTTTCTAGGGGGGTTGCTCGCGATAAGTTGTTAATCCAAAATAAGAGTTGGCAAACTCAAGAAAAAAAATGTGACACAAAAGCTGAGCTGCAGGTGCCCATCAAATGGGCTTCTGCTGATCATGCGCTGTTAATGTATCATTTAGAGGTCTTTAGACTCAGTTTCAAACATTTGAATTTAGCCCTCCCTCTGTTTTGGATTGTGCTTGGATCTAATAAACGAACATCTACTTGACCCATAAAACTTGTTTTAAGAACTCATTAGTAAAATAAGAAAAGTATNTGGTATTTCGCTGTCTCGTTTGTCACGGAGAAGGAGCTGTACTCGGCAAATGCGGTTTTTCCATGAATGTCTTCCAAGTCAACACGGAGTTTATAACCACCGCTTACAGTCAGCCGATGTATCTTGTCCAAACCGAGCCAGAACTCACCGTTCAGATTGCCAAAACCGCGTTTGTAATCATCCCAAGCGCGGAAGAAATCAACAGAGCCATCTCGCCTCTTCTGAAACACTGTCCAACCTCCACCAGTAGTTTTCTGATCACAGAACACTTCAAATTCGCCCAGACCACCAGGAAAAATTTTATTCATTCCACTGATCTTGGCACCGGACTTGTAGACTTCAGCACAGTTCTTGAAAACTGAAAACAAAATGATCATTCGATGCGGTAATAATTAGTTTTTGGCTAATGTTTCTAGGGGGGTTGCTCGCGATAAGTTGTTAATCCAAAATAAGAGTTGGCAAACTCAAGAAAAAAAATGTGACACAAAAGCTGAGCTGCAGGTGCCCATCAAATGGGCTTCTGCTGATCATGCGCTGTTAATGTATCATTTAGAGGTCTTTAGACTCAGTTTCAAACATTTGAATTTAGCCCTCCCTCTGTTTTGGATTGTGCTTGGATCTAATAAACGAACATCTACTTGACCCATAAAACTTGTTTTAAGAACTCATTAGTAAAATAAGAAAAGTATTTCCGTCGCATTTTTCGGCGAGAGGTTTTGAGGGCATTTTAGTGAGACATTGATGACAATGAGGATCCACTTTGCTCATTTGTAGTACAAATGGCGGAGAAAAACTCAAGAAAACGGTTCTGGTCTAGTGATTTTTTCATATTGTAAAGACAGTGCATTTACAGCTTTTAAAAAGGATGCACAGCTATGAACGAGGTATGTGAAAGGGTACCATTTTTCAATAGAGGGTATACGAAAGCTCGTAAGAAAACAAAGTTACTTGAAGCTCAAAATTAAAATCAGTATTGATAGCAAACGTTTTTCAAAGCAAAATGTTCCACCAGACAATGTTCTTCTCTTTTTCGAAACTTTACATATAACAGCCACGAGACATATTTGTCTGACACAAGCGGTTATTTTGTCATCTACCAGCAATTCATTGAGCAATATCATCGCTACAATTGCCGCGCTTTGCAATAACATGAGACCTCAAGACAAAATTGTATCTAACGTCAGGGCTGTTAACTCTCCCGGATAATCCGGGAGACTTGACTTGAGATTTTGAACCGTTTCTTCCGGTCTCCAGATTAGAGTCTGAAATCTCCCGGGTAATCGCCGAAGTTTGCCATTTCTTGTAGATTCGACTATTTGACAATGAAATTTCAAATATTTTGCGTTGTTTGAGCAATTTTATTGTTAACATCGTACGTTTCCTCACAAACTCCGGTATGCCATTGTAATATAAGCAATAACGTGATTGGTGGTAAGTAAACCAGTTAGGTCAAATGTTACAATTCCAACAACATCTTTTTCGCGCGTTTTCTTTCCACAAATGACGTAATTTGCCGTGCATAATGACGTCATCTATCATCGCTTCTCCATCAATTCTCAATATTTGAAGACGTGGGGGGTAGACAGTCCTGCCATTTCCTTTGAAGTTTCTGAAGTGGGGATAGGCGTTGACATTTAAGCACTTCTTAACCGTACGACATCATTATAGGGTAATCAACTTAACACTATGCTAACCAATTTCACATCGATTGCCAGAAAATCCAGGCGGGCAACTGCAGTTGAATGCATTGATTCTGTCAGTGCAAGTTCCGTTGTTCAAACAGGGACTGCTCTCACACTCGTTTATATCTGAACGAAACAATAATCACGGATAAATTGCAAACAAAGTTACTTGAAGCCCAAAATTGAAATATTGATAGCAAACGTTTTTCAAAGCAAAATGTTCCACCAGACAATGTTTTTCTTTTCGAAACCTTACATATAACAGCCACGAGACATATTTGTCTGACACAAGCGGTTATTTTGTCAACTACCAGCAATTCATTGAGCAATATCATCGCTACAATTGCCGCGCTTTGCAATAACATGAGACCTCAAGACAAAATTATATCTAACGTCAGGGCTGTCAACTCTCCCGGATAATCCGGGAGAATTGACTTGAGATTTTGAACCGTTTCTTCCGGTCTCCAGATTAGAGTCTGAAATAGCCTGTTCCAGGCTCCGAGATAGTCGGGCCCGCGGAATTGAGAAAGCGCGAAAAAGAAAAAAAACGGGAGGAAACTGGGGAGAGGGAGAGGCGGCGGAAAAGGGTCGTAAAAGAAATGCTTGAACATTCTTTAATATTAGTTTACCAACTGTAAGTTGGAATATCTCATGTTTACCTTTTAAAATCTTGCTTGGTCCGGTCTCGCTAAACTACTGCTATCAGGAGCCGATAAGTAATCGGCTCCTGCTGCTACAGGATAAAGTTAGCCTGTCCAGGCTCCGGGATAGTCGGGCCCGCGGAATTGAGAAAGCGCTAAAAAGAAAAAAAACGGGAGGAAACTGGGGAGAGGGGGAGACGGCGGAAGAGGGTCGTAAAAGAGATGATTACACGCTCTCTCTCCCCTCGTTTTCCCTTTTTTCCCGCCCCGCCCCCATTTTCGCGCGCCCTACACTTTCGCGTCTTCCCCACTATCTGAGAGCCTGGAACAGGCTAAGTCTGAAATCTTCCGGATAATCGCCGAAGTTTGCCATTTCTTGTAGATTCGACTTTCTGACAATGAAATTTCAAATATTTTGCGATGTTTAACATCGAACGTTTCCTCACAAACTCCGGTATGCCAATGTAATATAAGCAATAATGTGATTGCTGGTAAGTAAAACAGTTACGTCAAATGTTACAATTCCAACAACATCTTTTTCGCGCGTTTTTTTTTTCCACAAATGACGGAATGTGCCGTGCATTATGACGTCATCTATCATCCCTTCCTCAATATTTGAAAACGTGGGGGATTGACAGCCCTGAGCAAGTATCCTTAGCTTAAAGTTTTCAAAAGGAGGATAACAAAGAAATAACAATTATCCATAAAGCGCTTTTAAAATTTAGCCACGCCCGCTGCCATGCTATAAAAATGGAGTGTGTTTGTGGAACATTTTGCAGATTTCAAAGTCTGGGTTTGATAAATTGGTAGCGAAAACCGATAGAACTTGGACTTACTTCTGTTCGAACTTGGATAACTTGCATAACTGCTTCGTTTTAAACAGCTTTGTCATAAAAAGGAGTGTACTTTAATTATCAATATACTGTTTACCTTTTTCACAGTTTTCTCCGTGGTAGCCAGCCGGGCAAACACAAACGTATCTCTTCTCAGTATACCCCATGTAGCACTTCCCGTTGTTAAGGCAAGGTTTCTTGGCGCAAAGATTCTGATTAAGAGGAAACACATTGTACATAAAACCCTCCCATCTTCGTTCTTACGTAAGAACTACAACTGACAAAACGTCCTTCACTTCTGACCTTCAACAAGTGCCTTGACATACTGTTTTTAATTTTTCCGATCTGTACCCTGCGTGCCCGCGACTTGTTATACACGGTTTACGGTTTGGCGGTGCTTTAATTGCCGCTCGTGGCGTCGGGCTTCTGCCGAGGATATGTCCAGTGATGCATGATGATGCATCCCGCCGCACGCAAGAAAAAACCTCTGGTACCTAGGGTATCCAATCTGTTGACACTTGGTATAAACTGTTCAAGTGGATGACTCATATGCCTACTAAATTCCGCAGAGTCATTGGATCCCCGGAGGAAAATCCCATATGAAAATGACTGACGGGGATGCTAGTCGTTTCTCTTGCAGGTGGATTTCCACTGTCGCGTAATTTTTCCATGGGAACGCATGTAAAATGTACGCGCGTAAATGAAATTGAGGCAAAGTATGAAAGGCCACGCGTAAACGTGTGAAAGTTAAGCGAGGTTCAACTTTTACGTTTACGCGTGACCTTCCATACACTGTTTCTGTTTTATTTACGCGCGTAACTTTACGTGCGTACTTACGACAGTGGAAATCTACCCTTGGGGCCTTCAGGACGGAAAGCCAATATTATTGTGCGTTAAGAAATATCTATACAAATCAAGTGCCGTCGCCTATTTCCCTTTCATAAACGGTCTTTGCCATTTTTAACGGTCGATGCCACCATTAGTGATATACTCCCTGGATTAAGTTGCAAAAAAGCAAAAAATAGATTTTCGAATAGTGTTAGAAAGAACGACGTTGGAGCGCAAGTTGTTGTTGTTGTTAAAATTTACGAAAAGTGCTAGGGTCACCTGTTATTGATGTGACAGTTAAGAAAGACAGTTTGTTAGTGTATTTACTTAAAATTTTGGGAATTTTGGTGGGTTGGTGTGGTAATATTTTTAATGTCAGTGGTATGGGAGAGAGGTTAGGATAGAGTCCGGATTCGAGGCCTGGTTTGACCCTAGGTTGCGATTTTCTTTCTTTTTCATAGAAACACTTTCAATAACAGGTCAAAAATTTTCTACGTGTCGTAAAAATAACAGCGACCGTTTACGAAAGGGACAACAGCAGCGCCGTCACACTGCGTTAAATACTGCATTCGAGGACAAAAATCTCTTATCTGGTGTGTGTTTTAGTCAGTCTCCTTAGGCCTTAAGACGCAGGCGCTTGCTTTTTGCGTCATTTCAAACTTTCTGAAGGTCTTCTGTTTCTTTGGGGACCCAGTTAAGCTAAGCCATTTGAAACACACTTCCTTCATCTTTTCCACTATATGCTACCTGTTATACTTTCGAATTGACTGTTCCTGATATTGAGTTGCTCTCGAATTGGAATAGTAGTGCCGGGAGGCAAAGTGGTTCGAAAGTTTTAACGAAATTCTGTTTTCATGCGCGAGTCTCTTCAAACTGTACTTTCTGCGATTTACAGGTTTGCATTCGCTACTTCTAAGACTCACTTTAAGAGTGGCACGTAGGATACGGTGGTCGGAGTCGATCTCTACACTTTTGTAAGGTCTACACTAACAGTTTCTTATTGAGTAAGGCCACCTACCAATGACCAGGATATGGTCAACTTTGGCACAAGAGCCCAACGGATGGGTCCAGGTCTACTGCGTTCACCTTGGGTGGGGAAATCTGGATTGAGCATGTCGTAGGTTGGTTGCAAGGCAAAAGGTTAAGGTGTAGAAGGTGGGGACTCACTACTCTTGCTTAAGCAACTATCATCAACCAGATTCACACGGAACTGAAGGTCTGTGCAACTCCATGACATTCACACCCGACGGTGTACCGCCCATCTTAGCAGATTCGAGAGTGTTATCTTTTCATGTTTGACATAAAAATATATTGAAATACAATGAAAACAAACTAGACATAAAGTGATACAGATGTCATACCTTTGTGCCTCTGTAGTTCCAGTCGCGTCTTGGTTTGAGATTTTCAGGGTGCTGCAAGTCATCTGAATTACTGAGCTCACAGGCCATTTTGTTGTCAATGCGGGGACCAGTATTATAGGAGACACAATCTCTGGCTAACGTGCATTGGTCTTGGCAGTCCCGGTTTAGTTCCACTGAGAGATTTAAAAACACGTGGCCTTCAAGGTAAAATCCGTTAACTGGCGTTAGAAATGTGACGTATCGGTTGTTACGAGCGCATTGACCTTAGAAAGAAATTCAGAAAGTAATCAGTCAAATGTTTACTGGTAGTTGATGTTTGATAGAGAAATTAGCCTGAATAGGAGGTGTTTGAAGGGAAAGAGAAAAGAGAAATTAGGGCACACGATAGTGCTCACATCTCTTCACGCCGTCCCCACGATCTGAACGCCTGGAACAGGCTAGACACACGAGTGCACTAAGGGTATGAGTAAGTAGGCTGGGAAACGCTCCTTTTGGCCAAATGCTGCAGCGGTTACGATCTTGTCAAGGTGCTAGTTGAGGACGGCCTATATTCCAATTAGCGTGGTAATGATTTCTACTAGTCGGCCGCTTGATACCTAGTTCATTTTAACAAATCAGACTTCTTCGGCTCAGTATTTGAGTAAAAAAACGGGTCAGAATAATAGCGTCCCCGCTAGCGTTCCGTTCTCGCCTTTCTAGAGCGTTTCAGCCACACTTTTCCGCGTTTTCATTTTGCAAAAAAGAGCGCTATATTTGATAATCACTTACTGCATGGGCGAGCTAAGTTGAAATTTCTCAAACAAACTCGCCAGAATTGTCAGAAACCCGAAACCGTCAGATGCATGGAAGTCACTGAGTTAATAAAGGTGCGTAATGATTACTAATTTCATTGACTTTCCTCTGGCTATCCTTTAGTTATTTAAGCCTCCCACAAAAAGCCTAAAGTTTTCCGTGATGCCGAATTTATAATTAGAATTAAAGGTAACTTTCCTTTTTCTCTACTGCGCTGCGGAAATATGCACCTTTTTCTCAACACCAGTAATTTAAGTGCTATTGAGGTTGGAAAAACCGGTCTTATATATAAGCCACCCTTTTGAAAGTAAATCGTTAATGAAGAGAAATTGTAAAAGATCAGAAAGGAATAGAAAAAAAATATATATGCACCTACTGGTGCAGTTTCTGCAACTGAAAAGCCACATAAAAAATCACCTGCGGCACAAAAAGGTAGAAATATTGCCACATAAGAATGACTCAAAATAAACAATGACTGATATGTAAATCTTTTGTATACAGGGACTTGGCGGTAACGTTCCATTGTATTCTTTGTTTTCTCCCTCAAGACGCAGCTTAAATAGACATATACGGGATTCCTTCCCCAATTTGTTTTATTGTGTCTTCATCAAAATTTTAGCTTTATTAAACCATGCAGATTACTTTTCCGTAAGCCAAACGTAATTCCCAAAAGCGTTTGTTAAAAATTGGAAGTTAATTAGGTTTGGAGCATTTTAGCACTGGTTTATGCAAAGTGAGATTTTTTCGTATTGTTGGCTCGCCTTTTTTCGAGCAATGATATATAGGAACCTCTTCAAAAGATTTGAGGACGGTGACTGGCCGGTAAAAATTAACGTACGATTAGCCCCATAAAAAAATCGCCTGCAGCACAAAAAGGTAGAAATTTGACAGGTAAGAATGACCCAATATAAACAACGACTGATATGTAAATCTTCAAGACAGGAACTTTGTGGTAATGTTCCATTGTATTATTTTTATGTTTTCTCCCTCAGGACGCAGCTTCCTTCTCCAATAATTATTTGTTTTACTGAGTCTTCAAAACAATTTTAACTTCATTAAACCAGATTACTTTTCCGTAAGCCAAACGTAATTCCCCAACGCGTTTGTTAAAAATTGGACGTTAATTAGATTTAGAGAATTTCCGCACTGGTTGATGGAAAGTTAGATGTTTTTGTATTGTTAGTTCGTCTTTTTTCGAGTAATGATATGAAGGAACCTCTTCAAAGATTTGAGGACGGTGACTGGCCGGTAAAAACGTACGAAGCCCCATAAAAAAATCGCCTGCAGCACAGAAGGGTAGAAATATTGACACATAAGAATGACTCAAAATAAACAATGACTGATATTTAAATCTTCTGTATACAGGGACTTGGTGGTAACGTTCCATTGTATTCTTTGTTTTCTCCCTCAAGACGCAGCTTACTTCTCCAAGAGAGAGAATTTGTTTTACTGCGTCTTCAAAACAATTTTGACTTCATTAAACCAGATCACTTTTCCGTAAGCCAAACGTAATTCCTCAATGCGTTTGTTAAAAATTGGACGTTAATTAGATTTAGAGAATTTCAGCACTGGTTGATGCAAAGTGAGATTTTTTCATATTGTTGGTTCGTCTTTTTTCGAGCAATGATATGTAGGAACCTCTTCAAAGATTCGAGGACGGTGATTGGCCGGTAAAAACCTTGCTTAAAATACATACATACATACATTAACTTAATTGCATAGCTCGACCCCCTTGGAGGTTCTTCCGCCATACATACACGAATTTAAAAAAAATAATAAAATAAGATAAAATAAAATAGACTAGGGAATATTTACATTTCGATGATAAAATAACGAATTTCTATAAACAATAATGATAATAATAAAACATTAATTTTAAAAACTATTTACATTTAAATAATAAAAAAAAAACTATCCATGAATTAAAAAGATATTCAAGATTCTATTTTGAAAAACGTTAAGATTTCCCGTGTCTCTTATATCTTTAGCTATACTATTGTAGAGTTTTACCCCACGGTAGGTGAAAGTCTTTTGGCCAGTGGCCAGCCTATACCGAGGCAACGTGAGGTCATTGTTCTGTCTAGTGTCTCTTTGGTGATAGAGTTTTTGCACGATATTGAAAGCGCCCGTGATGGTAACCAGTTGTTAGGTTCTTTAAGCATTAATTTTGTACACCATCACTAGGTCGTTAAAAAGCAGTTTATCCCTTACGTTAAGCCATTTAAGGGACTTCAGGGCTTCTGAAACATTATCGTACTTTCTTAAACCAGCTACGATTCTGAAGGCATAGTTCTGAACTAGCTCAGGTTTTCTAACGTTCTTCTTGCTCGTACTACTCCATACCGTCGAACAATAAAATAGTTTGAATGCACAATCTTCACCTTCTTTGTCAAATGTGGGCGAACTCTCCTGGAGGTGTTTTACCTTATGCAACTTCAGAAAAAGGCAAAATAACATTTCTTCTTGGCTTGTTAACGTCGTCCATAAAACGTGAAATTATAGGCACTTTTACCTTCTAGTTATATATGCAGTGACGGCAAAATAACGGTACATAAAAAATTGATGTGCAGGCAAGGTTGTCGCTTTGCTAATTAAACCTATTGCTTTTCTGACCGCATTACTCGTTGCCGTCGCCGTGCTCGGATCTCAGGAAACTTATTGATATTTTCCTTTGCTGACGTCACGTCTATTTTTACATAGGAGTCGGCGGCCGCGAAAAAATATCTACAATTGGTGGCTTTAAAATTACATGAAATTAACCAGGACTCTTGAAAGACAAGTGACTACAAGTGAAAGGAATAATCCTCAGTTCCAGCGTAAATTAGGAAAACTAATTAAAATCTTCT